TGTCTGTCAGTGTGTGTGTCAGTGTATATGTCAGTATGCCTGTCAGTGTATGTGTCAGTATGTGTGCCAGTATATGTGTCAGTATGTGTGTCAGTATGCCAGTCAGTGTGTGTGTCAATATGCCTGTCAGTGTGTGTCAATGTGTCTGTCAGTTTTTGTGTCTGTGTAAGTATGTCTGTCTCTATGTGTCTGTATATCTGTGTGTGTATCTATATGTTGTCATTGTGTGTGTATCTGTATGAAGTCTGTGTGTGTATCTGCCAGTGTGTCTGGTGTGTATATGTGTGTCTGTGTAACTGCATGTGTGTCAGTGTTTGAATCTTTTTGTATGTCAGGATGTGTATTGGTGTGTCTGTATGTGTGTCAGTGTGTATCTGTATGATGTCTTTGTGTGTTTCGCTGTATCTGTATGTTATGTTATTAGTATGTGTGTCTGTTTATCTGAATGTGTGTCAGGTTGTGTATCTATGTGTTAGTGTGTGTATATCTACTTGTGTGTTTGTGTGTGTATATGTGCATACATCTCAACATTCACACGCTAACACTACACACAAATACACCCCTGCATTAAAGCTTCAGCACTACATACAAATACACGTCTGTGTTAAACACCAACATTATATGTATACACACCCCTGCATTCAAAAACCAACACTACACATAAATACATGCTTACATTCAAACACCAACACCACATACAAACATATGCCATACAAAAACCTGTTTACATTGAAACACACAAAAACTTCTTAGTGTTAAATACAAACCTGCAAACATGGGTAAATGGTAGAGCCAAAGCTATCAAGGTATTGTTGGAGTTGCACGACAGATGAGGATCTACCTTTTAAACATCCTTGCAATAGGGATGCCCCAAAAAATATTCTTGCACCTCTCTTCTTTAGGTTGCCACTGTATTAAGGGTGATAATGTGATTGCACGCCTGGGGAGGGTGTACAGGGTCCAGGGGGCCCAAGCAAATGCTTTGCCCATGGTCCAATCAATATTAAAGACGGCTCTGGTATTAATGGGTGATAGCTATCAAAGTGTTCTGAAAGTGATTGTTTTCATCATTAGTAAATCATGCCAGTATTTTTTTTTTTTTATAATATATATTTTTATTGAATGTTTTTTTTTTCTTCAAATAGAGGGTATACATTTTGTTATGTCATATTAAACATCCTGATTCAAATTTTCAGATCGAAATCAACATCAAATCAAAGACAAAAGAAAAATTTTCAACTTAAATTTGCATCCTGTTATTTTCTTTTTCTCCTTCCTTCTTTTTTCTTTTCCCCTTTCTTTTCCGTTCCCTTTTTCCTTTCTCTTTCCTTCCTTTCTTTTTTACTATATCCTTTCCCTTTTTCTCCTTCTCTTTTTACCTGCAACCTGTACCTTAATTTACCCATGTTTTTACCAACTACAATGTCAGTTTCAGCCATCTCACCATCAACTCTTCTCCTCCTAACAGAACTTTCCCCCAGATTTTTCGGAACGCCATTAAAGTGTCGCTAGCTTGGTGTGCCATATATTCCATCTGACAGGTATATTGTAACATATCTATCAAAATTTTTATGTTTGGAATCTTTTAGTTTTTCCAATTTTTTGAAATAAAAGCTTTGTGTCAAGAAACAAATAAGATAATATTTTTTTTTTCATGTAAACGTATTGTGGTTAGGAAATTATTCAGGATCGCCACTTCCATGAAAAAAGGAATTTGAAAATGTATTTTAGATTTGATCAAATTATATAACATTCTCCAGATCGGGGTTAGTTTTTTGCATGACCACCATATATGACTGAACGTTCCAATCTCTCTGCACTGTCGCCAACATTTATTTGGAATATTAAAATATATATATGACAAACGGACAGGAGTTAGATACCAACAGTATGTACAAAGTCCAAGTGTGTAACACAAGTGTATACTACCACACTCTAAAACACTTGTGTGATTGCCTCTCTATCCACACAAAGCAAAATTTATACATACATAAAAGATAGGTGGAGTGTGGATGGTTCTTGGTTGAAGGTATCAAATAATAACTTTAACAGATAAAAATGACAAAACCTAGTGCAATACAGTCTGATACACATGTATACACATATATAGTAATCCTTTAGTGTTGTACTCACAAGGTAGAGCCACAATATAAGACTCAATGTATTCACTGATGGGAATATTTGAAGGGATCCCACTCCCTTGCGAGGTAATGTTGAGATGCTTGTAAATGTTATCCACCAAATAATACCACTGGACGTGGGATGGCGGTATACAGAAGTATTTATTTCCAAGCAAAATCACATAGAGTAAAAACAAATAAAATAGAAAAAAATCTACAGATAAAAAATACTTGCAAGACGCGTTTCGCCCATATATTAGGCTTCCTCAGTTGCGTGTACTGCTCTCCGGAAATGTCACGCAGACCTGGGTTTAAAACCCTCCATGCATTAAAAAGGTTTCGTTCCTGCATTATGGTTCAAAATCTCCTACTTTTATTATAAGCTGTTTTTTCTAGTAGCATTTGTTCTCATTGTTTGGAGACTTAGGTAATACTATTTGTCTCCTTGAGGCGTTGGGTAAACACTAATTTAAACTTCCCCTATAAAGTTACTCTGTATTATTTTTCTCCCTTTTATTTATCTCTCTTTAAATTATGCCAGTATTTGCAGGGATATCCTTTTTAGAAAACTGCTACTTTTAGAGGGGCAGGAAAAAAAAATACAAATGAAACAGAACATTTTCCTCCAGGAAAAGTTTCAGAAAGATTGATAAATGAATGGCATCACTGAAAAAAATTACATGTATTAAACAATAAATAAATAACAGGAAGGAAAAGAAGCAACAGACACTTCTCTGTTCCACTTTCCAGACGTCTAAGTATGTGAAATACTGGGATTCATGATATGATAGTACAGTGTTGGCTGTCTTAAAGGAACCACGTGGTACAGAGCAGCAAAGGCTTAAGAATTAAGCCATAATTGAGGTTCTTTGGGGGTTCCAAAAGGTTTTTTTTCACACTTCCTCACTTCTACAGTAACCCTATAAGTTTTAATTAGCTGGCTGTGACCACTGGGCGGTTTCAAAGCTGTGAACACTGTCCAAGACTAGTTGGAGCACTAAGTGCTTTGGGGTACAGTTATGTAGGTAGACATATCTCCTCTAACTGAACTGCATTGAAAGCTGCAGAGGAGAGGCTATAACGGCTCCAGGGCTGCCCATGTACATTCATGGCATGATGCCATATCGCTTCCTCTCAGTCCTCTAAGAATGCTGTGTCCGAAAGATCTGGCACTCAAATTGTCGCAACCCAATTGCCACTGTAGACTTGTGCTACTTGGCATGAGTAACGCATCAATTAATTTACATTTACCTTGACTATGGCTGCCCACTTCTCATCCAAAGCATTGAAAGGAGAGGTGAAGAAAGCAGGGAGGAAGGGGTAAAGCAAATGTTATTGTATTTTTTCACCATTTATTAAACATTAAACATTAGATTGTAGCCTAAACCTGAACTGAAAAATTAGGGCAAAAATAAGTCATCCGTAAATCTTCAACTCAACAAAACATTGTAAACGTACATCTGCTGAGGTGATCTTTAAACTGTGTTTAGAGTAATAACTTGCCTTACAGGTAATTTGAAGTCCACTTATTTAATTAACACAATGGTGGAAAATCTGCCTTCACCGGTCGTTCAGGTATAACTGCTTCTTGCTAGAAACTTCACAGTGTTTGGTTTTCTTTGTGTGTTCTGTTGGCATGGTAATGTACACTATCGAAGAATGCAATAAGAAAATTGCTCTTAAAGGTACACTCCAAGCACCAAAACCACTACAGCATGTTATAATGGTTATGGTGTAGGAGTGCTTTGGCAGCCTACTAAGTAAACCATTTAGTAACAGCCTAACTTATCACCTAGGGTTCGCTGGGTGCTGCTCCCTTGGTAAAGCTGGAAGCTTTCTGTACGGCAGTGCAGGTCTTAGTTCATTTGGTGAGATCAATCTTCTCACACCTCCTATCAGCCTTCAGCTCTCAGTTCAGTAATGGATCAGCATCAGTTGCACAGCCAGGTTTGGCAAAGAGCAGAGAGCTTCTGGCTGAGAGGAGGCAGGAAGCAGTCCCCAGCATTCACAGCATATCACTGCTGTCTAAATTTAGACAGTTGTTTCTGGATAATATATACGGAAGTGAAACTTCCATATTGTTTCAGTGGTAGCAGGGCTTTGGGTCCCAGGAGAGCCCAGTTTTTTTTTTGTCATACTGACTGAAAACAGTTTGAAATAAACCACCCAAAAAACGAGGGAGTTTACACCACAAAACACTGCAAAACATGTGCTTATTGTGACACTTTGAGAATTGTAAATGCTGAAATCTCTCTTCAGTATAATATTAAATAATGATTTTATTCACTTTTAATAATTTCAAAATTTTAAAAACATTTCAAAGAGAAATACTATTTTACAACATATTTATCTTGGATGCATTATTTTAATAAGCTCCATCAGAAATATGGACATCTCATCAATTTACACTGTATGTTGTGAAAGAGCATCACACACGCTTCCCTGGCCTCTGGGTTAAAAAATCCAATCCAGCCTTAATGCAGGTATAGAATTATGCATTGGCTAATATATATATAATTGGCAATATTATCAGTGATTGGAGCACATAAGCAGCAAGCCAAATGGATGCTTTGCTCAGAGAACTCTGCCTCTACTTTCATGCTGTTGTCAGCAGTTTTGTAAGGGAGTACATATATACCACCTTCCCAGACACTTAATTAAAGACTGAGACCAACACTGGTTATGTCGCGGTGTGACAGCAAATTTAAAGGACCACTAAAGTTACCCAGACCACATTCTTCCAATGAAGTGATCTGGGTTCAGTGGCCTTGTAGTTTTGTAGAAAGTGAAAGTGAGGATAAGTGTGAAATGGATGACTGAGTATGTGTGGTTAACTGTGAGAGGGTTAATCAATGGAGGCCCTGAGACTGGTAGACTGCTGGAGAACGCTTCACCCTACGGTAAAGGATTTCACCTACTACTCTGCTCTCCACAACCGCTATTCTCGCATAGATTACCTCTTCATTGCACAGAAAGGTATCTCCCACCTACTTAAAGCCGAGATCGCACCGGCCACATGGTCAGACCACGGTTCGGTCGAAATGGAATTGGACTCTCCCTTGTTCGGACCGGTGGCCTGGACCTGGAGATAAAATGAGGCGCTGTTACTAGATCCTGATACCAAGGAACAAATTAATCAAGCATTAGAGCACTATTTCAGAGAAAATGGCACTCCGGAGACCTCTCCAATATCTGTGTGGGAAGCTCACAAGAGTGTAATCCGCGGCATACTCATAGCTTCGCAGAAACGGAAGGCGATTATGCTTGAGATGACCGATTTATATCACTCAATCTCGAACCTGGAGCGTCAGCATAAGCGATCCCAGCTAAATGAAGTCTATGGAGAATTAATGGAACGCAGAAGAACACTCAAAGACCTTATTATGAAAAGACATCTTTGAACCATACAGCACACGAAAGGCTTCTACTATGTGCACACTAACAAAGAAGGTAAATACCTGGCGAGACTACTGAAGGGCCCTATGCCCCGTAGGCAAATACGTAAAATACGTCTAGCTTCGGGGGAGGTGACCCCCTTCCCACAGAAGATTGCAGGAGAATTTAGGACTTTTTACGAGAACCTCTATAATTTGCACACACCTAATGAGAATGTCGAGGCTACAAGTGACTACACAAGGATGCAGGACTTCCTATCCAATATGATCATAAACAGGATCGACCAGGACTCAGCATCAACATTGGAAACTAGCCGCTGCCCTTAAGGCATCCAAATCCGGTAAGGCTCCCAGCCCCGATGGCTTCTCCACGGGATATTATAAGAGCGTCTCGGGAGTACTGCTGCCATGGTTGACCAAGGCACTCAATGCTGTAGGCGAGGGAGGAAACCTGGGCTCAGAATCCCTGGCAGCCACTATCACAGTCTTACTTAAACCAGGGAAGGACCCATTAATCTGCGGCAGCTACCGTCCGATCTCATTGCTAAATGTAGACACCAAACTGTTTACGAAAGTCCTGGCAACCAGACTCAAACACCTTTTCCCTGATTTGATCCACGTGGACCAGACAGGATTCATCCTAGGTCGAGAGGCCAGAGACAGTACCCTACGACTCTTCTCCATTCAACACCACGCAAGGAGAAAGGGGTCCTGGTTACTACTGCTATCCACCGACGCGGAAAAAGTGTTTGACCGAGTCAACTGGACATACATGTTAGCAACATTGAGACAGCTGGGATGTGGATGAAGACTCCTTGCGTAGATATCTGTCTTGTATAGTAAACCGCGTGCAACCGTGAGGGTTAATGGGGCCACGACTACTGACTTTGCGATCAGCAACGGAACTCGACAGGGATGCCCACTCTCGCCGTTGCTTTTCGCGATGACCTTGGAACCATTATTACAGACAATCCACCAGAACCCAAACATAGAGGGATACGATTGGCAGGCGGTGCAACATAAAGAGGCCGCGTACACGGACGACCTCTTTTTCTTTGTACGCAATCCCAGAACCACACTGCCATGTCTCCTCTCGGAATTCGATAGATCCGGACAGATATCCAGATTCAAGCTTAACCTCTCGAAATGCAAGGTTTTGAACACCACACTCTCCACAGAGGAATTCCTGACCTGTCTAGATGGTCATACCCGCATATGACCTGGCACGGAAGAATTGCGGTGATTAAAATGAATATACTCCCGAGGATCTTATATCTCATGCAGACCATACCTCTCGCCATACCAGCTACTTTCTTTTCCGCCCTAAAAACGGCAGTGATTAGATTCGTATGGCGGGGAGAACAATCTAGAATTCGACATGACATCATATGCCGCCCTAGAAATTATGGAGGACTGGTGCTGCCGGATTTTAAGAAATATTATCAAGCCACGGATCTGGGGGGGACTTGGAGGACAAACAACTCAAAGTGGCAGTGAGGGGTTGGTCCTACAGACCTTGCATAGCTGGAAGACACTGAGGACGCAAGGCTCACATATCACTCACGCCTAGCCCAATGATGCTGATCACACACAATGAGGCCATGGGGGGGCTCCCTCCCGGAGCATGGCCCATCCCGAACACTGGAACATACATACCCGTACATAGGGCCCTAGCAGGTGAGAGATTGCGGGACCTGCCCTCGATGCTGGGGAACAGACCTCGAACTCCTCTCTCCCTTCTCAGATACTTAACTGAAACATTTCTATGAAGCGCTACCACACAAAAATCGCTTACACAGAGACCTTACATGGTTTGAGGACCTCTGTGAGCAAGGCGTCCCATTAGATCACGCAATCTCGGCACTCTATCAACATTTATCGGCTGGCGATATGCCCACGGCCACTACATTTAAGCGTCAATGGGAGGAACAATTTGGAAGACCACTCACAACCCAGCAATGGGATACAGCATTACTATGGCATCATAAGAGCTCCATGAGCTCCTATTACCAGAATGTGAATTACAAATTGCTTTCCCTCTGGTACAGAACACCATCCCTACTACACCGAATCTTTCCATCGACCCCCTCGGTGTGCTGCAGGTGCCAGGCAGAACGCGGCACGTTGTTACACATATGGTGGGAGTGCAGGGATATCACCCCGTATTGGGAAATGATCAAAAAACAGTGACACTCATCCTGGGAGACATACCAGAGTGGAACGCGGAATTGGCGCTATTGTACATCTCGACACAACCTATACCGTCGTATAAGAAATCGATATTACGACACCTGCTCAATGCGGCCAAAGCTAACATACCAGCTCACTGGAAAAAGAGTGAAGTGCCTACTAAAAAGGAATGGATTCACAGAGTGGAAGATATTCAGGGAGCGGAGGAAACACATGCTTCTCTGACAGGGCGAGGAACCAGACACGCGGAGATGTGGATGCCATGGTTCTTATACATAACTCGTTACCGGCAAGATGGAGATGCACCCGAAGCCATGGTGGGGACGGCAGCGGGCGTGAGCCCTACTTAAATTAGACCACACTCCTCACATCTTGACCACCCACCATCTTCTGCTCTTAAACCTTCCCTTCCCTTTTCCTACTAGACTATCGGGGACTGGGGACTGGGGGTGGGGGCCTTTGCTAGACGGGCCGACTATGAGACACTTAGTATAATGAACCCAGTGAGCAAAAAAGACAAACAAAATTGAAAAGATAGGGTTCGAAATGACAAAAGACAATGGCACCCACTCAGCAGTACGGAGACCCAATTCATTTTATGACTTGGATACCGGGTGCTCGACAGGGAAACTAACAAAAACATAAAAAATGCACGAACCTTAGACAAACATATATCCCACTACACTCACGTAACCCATGAGACACTTATCCCCAACAGAACATGGAGACCTAACACGTAGTAGCGAATAATAAAGACTAATGCACCATAGTGGAAGTGAAGAGGGATCCAAGCATCACCCGGGCTCCGCCATAAGTAAATCAGATACCACTATCACCTATGCAGAAACAATCAAGGGGGGACTGTTACCCCCCTCGAAATGGAATAACTGATAGTGAACATAGACTCTACTGTTGACAGACATGGGGAGAATCTAGACCCCGAGTAATAAACATAAGTCTGCATAGTACAGGTAAACTTTCACATAATACTGAGACCGTGTTACCGATAGACAAACAACATAAATATCCACCTTGTGAAACCTCAAACATTAAGTTCAACACATTACACAATGACCCAGAACTAAACACCGAAATATATTACGAGGAGGGAAACTCTGATTCACGGTCTCGAACAAACCCGCTGTCAGAGATAATGCGCTCCCCCCACCTCCACTGGACGAACACTCACGAAGTGGGGATTACGGTACTCAAGAGGTGGGATTAATATCATAGCTAAAGTAAACTTGACATTTTAGGTCAAAACAGCAGAAATGAAAAAGGAAATTGAGCTAGGAGAATTTTTTTTATTCAGGCTTTTTTTGGACTAAAACTTGAAATTCACTTTAATTTCCAGACCATTATTAACAGAATAACCCTGCCCTGGCTCTTACTAATAAGCAGCTGTACCCATTGCTCTTGTGATAAACCAACCCCAAACCCCCCCTATAACACTTTTCATTGCTCCTCTGCCTGAGCTAGTTAATAAAGTTTGTTGGAAAAAAACAACAACAGGTCGGCTCCGCATTCCCCTCACCTACAGCATTGTAGAATCCAGATGTGAGCGGAGGGAGGGGGCGGGGCTTAGCTTCACAGGTTACGTGTGTGACGATTTTCAACGTGACGTCGTCGTTGCCGCAGTAACGCCCCGCCCCCAGCGCGGTGCGGAGTAGGAAGTGACCGGTAACCTTCACTCGGGGCCGGGAGCAACGGAGGAGAGGATCGGAGAGCGCAGGGAGCGGCCATCATGGTGCTCATCAAGGAATTGTAAGCGGCCGGGGAGTCAGGGTGCGCTGGGGGCAGGGAGCCGGGGATGAATGAGCCGGAGAGCAGCTGTTCCATGGAGGTAGCGGCTCGCTGGTACTGATGCTGGTCCTTGGGCTGGTGACAGTCACCGGGCGATATTTACTAAACTCCGAGTTCTATCGAATCCGAATGGCAGAGCAGAGTCGGAGCTGATTCCAGCTGTTACTGGCACTGACTTGGGACATTTTCCAGATCTGAGATAATATAAATTTTATTTTGTTTCAATTTCTTAATTTGTTTATCTTTTTTCTAAAAATTCTATTTTCTAGAATTCGGAGTTTAGTAAATAACGCTGGCAGCGATGCAGAATTTAGATGAGTTTGTGGTTGTCAGTAAGTAGCCTGCATGTGTGAGTACCATTGATGGTTTTTTTTGGATGTTTGGGGGTGAGAGGTGGGATAAATGGGGAGGGAGTGAAACCAAAGTCTCCTGTACTTGGAAGAGAGCAGGAAGTGTTAAAAGAGATTTACCGGTGAGAATTGCAAGTGTAAATTTCCCGATTCTATGTTTCGAGTTCTGGGAGAGGAACTTGCAGCACCCTTCTACTCACTGTATGGGGCAGGTGGTTATATTGTTGCAGCAGATGCACTACCTGACACCTCTCAGGTGTACAGTTTCCATTTTAGGACATTATCAGATATCATTGTCACATAGCAAATTATCTTTAGTAAATTTGCTAAGTGATAATATCCTAAAATGGACATTTTAGGACACCGGTTAAAGGTGCTGCAAAAGCCCTCTTATGTGTGTTCAGAAAAAAAAAATATATATATACATCTCTATGTACAGTTATATTTATTTTAATTTTATTTTTTGGCATCCAGGCCCACCTTGTACTCACAGTTTGTTTAAATGCTGTTTGTGTTGAGATATCAGAATGTAACCTTGGTAGGATGTCCAGTGGTGTTTGCTAGATTGCCTGGCTGTTAACAATATTACTTACAAAATAAAAGACAAATATTTTTTAATTGTTAGATTAATAATCCAGAGTATCAATTTTTTTAAACATGACTTCTTGTGGAGGGTTTCTCCTCATGTGCACATCATGCTGTGGGTGATTGCGTGGGTGACCCACAGCACAGGGGATATTGGCAAGGACATCCTCCTTTCCAATTGGAATAGACTCATTGCTAACAGATGATAACATGAAGTAATGTATAACAAAGCCTATAATTTGTTCTGTACAATTACAGGCATCATTTGATTAAGAACAACTTGGCATGGACTTTGATTTTTGGGCTGATCTTGGGCACTCCCCACTGAGCTGTACATGCTTCTCTTGCATTATATACAAGAAAATAAACTGGATTTAAGAGATCTGAAATCATAGTTTAAAATAGAGCATTGTTTAGATTTATGGCTTAAAAATAAAATTTAAAAGATCATGATTAATGTTGTAGCAAACCTTAAATGAATGAGATTATGATGTATTTTCCAGTGTTTTGTAAGGCACATCCAAGACTGTGTGATATTTATTATTCTGATTCCCATGGTCATAGTATTTTGCTCTTTGTAGCAAAGGTCTTGGACGAGAGGCATTTAAAAGCTTGTTGGATGTCACACGAGTTCAGAGATTTCTGAAGCTTTGTGTTGGCTGCCCTCGTATGCTCTGAGAGCAGCGTCATCTGGCAACTCTTGCACTGTTGTTTGGGGCTAAGCAGGAGTTAGAAGGATTTATTTTATTTTTATTACCAAAAAAAAAAAAGAGGAAATAAGTGAATTTCATACTCTGAAACAATTAATTTCACATTCATTTTCCAACAAGTGGCTGTCATTGTGAGGCAGTGTTTCTCATTGTGCTAAGGCCTCAGAGAGGCCTCAACTGCAGAATATCTGCTCACTGTTTTTAACCTAATATGGTGTATATATATTTTGCCTTTACTAGACAGATTCTCTGTAATCAGATGTCACTCTGTGTGTTCTAATTATTATCCAGACATTTTGTTGAGAAGTTGTTTTATTTTTCTCTAAATGTGTTATTACATTTTAGATTATCATGAGTCTCAAATAGAATATATATTAGTTTTTACATTCCTTACTGGGCTTATTATAAAAATATCGGACTGTCTGGCATTGATGAGGCACAGTTAAAGTTTGACTGTTTGGTCTAAATGTTACGATCATTGGTGAACTACCACTTTGGATAAACGTGCATAGGTCTATTTGTTGAACTGGCACGTTTTATGGGAATGCTTAGGGACGGTGTTGCAAACTGTAGGCTAAAATAGCTGAAACTGAGAACTTTTGGAGTTTGGCAGATTAAAATTTTTTAATTGTGTAATAATCCTTGCAATTGTCAACAAATTCTTGGTTTAAGGAATAATAACAATAGACTGTTTGTATAGCTATACTTTGCATAGTGCTTCTATTGATTGTTGCCAAGGAAGTGCAAGTTTATAGGTCAAAGTATGCTGGTGTTTTATTAACAGAATAAAAAATGTTCACATTAAGATGCTGGGTAAACTGTGAGCTTAAAATAAGTCCATAGTAACCCCCCTCCATCCTTGTATAATATATCTTAATTTCTACAGACACTTTGATGTTTCAAGGTGTGTCTTGCTCTAATGTTACAGGAGAGACCAGTTTTGGCTAATTCTGGGCCGCCCATGTTTTTTGGCATAGTTTCCAAGGATGCTTTAAAGTGAATCTGTTTTGCCAGGTTTAACATAATTTATAACGACTCTTAAAGCAAGTGTTATGTAATTTATCATAAAGATAAATTGTGCATAGAATTGCTTTAGAAGCTGTTGTATGCATATCTGCTGTCCGAATTCCAGTACCTCCGTGCTTGGCGCATCCATTATTGTCACACTATTTTAGCATCCGTCCTCAAGATATGCCTTCCTGTTTTACTCTGTAATATTACTGTCTTGCCTGACAACACATCCCCAAGCAAAACAATCTTCCATAATGTATTTATTTCTAAAATATTTTACCAGGAAGGATACATTGAGATTTCTTTCATTTTAAGTATACTGATATGCTGGCTTCATTGCCTCCCTTACCTATATTCCATCAGCAAGTGCAGGAAATGCTCGTTGGTGGTATATCTGTGACAGAGAGCATTACAACCACCTGCTAAATGCAGTGATGGTGAACCTATGGCACGCATGCCACAGCTGGCACGCCAAGCCCTCTCTGTGGGCACACAGCCATAGGATCACCCAGGACAGTCCTGCATTTTAAGAGTCTGTCCTGGGTCCCGGGAACCCCCATTCTGGGACAATGAAGTGTCACGGAATGAGCTGAGCTGCACCGCCGCTTCTGCAGTGGCATATCCAGGGGGGGCAACGGGGCAATTAGTGCAGCTCCCATAGGGGAACTACCTCATCGGTCTGTGCTGCAGCCCTTTGGTAAACTGGGCCCCTTTTAATGTTGCAGAGAGTGCTGGGAGGAAGTGACTGTTACTTCCTCCCAGCATACAGACCGCGCGGGCTGACAGGACACTGAAGAAGCAACTGGAGGAGGAGGAGGCTGGAGAGAGAGCTTTGCAGCTTATCCTTCAGACTCCCATCATCATCACCCAGCCCCAGGAATTAACCTCCCTGCAAACAAAAGGTATGGGAGCAGAGGATGGTTAACAAATGTAAATTGCAACTTGTGTGTTTTCCCATGTGTATGTTTAGGTATGTGTGTATCTGTGAGTGTCAGTGTTTCTCTGTGTCTGTGAGCACGTGTGTGTGGATCTATGTGTGTCTGTGTATCTGTGAGCGGATCTGTGTGTGTGTGTCTAAGTAGCCAGTTAATGTTTGCAGAAATACTGAAAAACGCACTGGCAGATATGTTTTTGCCAGTCTCAAGTATACATTTGATGAAATTTACTCATGAAAGTGTAAACCTCAGAATTAAGTTTAATTGCCGTGTTGGCACTTTGAGGGAAAAAAAGTTGGTTTGTATTGCGGTTTGGGCACTCGGGCTTAAAAATGTTTGCCATCACTGTGCTAGAGGGTTCTAATGCTCTCTCTCCCTTGTCATTTAGTGCTTGCCAAATAGGCCCTTTCCCCCAGCATATCTGTGCTGAGAATTGATTGACCAGTGGGGGATGGATTGTATGTCTAAAGTGCTGAAATACAAATTTATAGGATTTGCTAGTGTGTATTAGTGACATTTTCCGCCCTTTGATTTAAACATTACTAATGTGTACCATGACAGGTGCATTTTAACCCCTTATGGACCAAACTTCTGGAATAAAAGGGAATCATGACGTGTCACACATGTCATGTGTCCTGACACATGACATGTGTGACACGTCATGATTCCCTTTTATTCCAGAAGTTTGGTCCATAAGGGGTTAAAATGCACCTGTCATGGTACACATTAGTAATGTTTAAATCAAAGGGCGGAAAATGTCACTTATACACACTAGCAAATCCTATAAATTTGTATTTCAGCACTTTAGACATACAATCCATCCCCCCCTTAAGGACACATGACATGTGTGACACGTCATGATTCCCTTTTATTCCAGAAGTTTGGTCCTTAAGGGGTTAAACAGCCTAAGGGCTGTTTGGCACCATGGGAACTGGAGTCCACAAAAAAAACTGCATTCTTAAGGATAGGCCAATCAGAGGCGGACTCATTTTTGCTAATGAAATATAAAATTAATATTTAAAGACCACAAATAAATAGACTATAATAGCTCCACTGCATGAAAGTGACACATACATTTTTAAATGCCACAGAAAAAATGCAGGTATAGAGCAGTCAACTGACAATCTAGCTGAAAATTCTTGGTTGAATAAAATAATTTTTGGAACTCTGATAATTTGACCTACATTTAATTGTAGATTTGCCACAATAACAGGTTAGTTAATAAACCCTTTAACAGAGGTGAGTAGTCCTTTCAGTGTATCGACCCAGAGACATCTGATTGGGTGATGAGCTGTGTATGTATTTGCATGTTTTTCTTGATAACATTGTACCAGTATACCAGGTGACTGCTGTTTGCACCATCAAATGATCTCGGTAGCATAGTTTGATCTGAATTATATGCATAACATTGGAAAGCCTCAGTAATAATTATTGTATAAAGCTTGCTGTAAAAAAAAAAAAAAAAACCCTAAAAATGCCAAGGGAGAGAAGGCATATTTACCATCTTTGCTGACCTAAATTCCCAAACCACCCCTCCGTGCCATTTTGCAGGCCGTTCAGAAAAGTCTTTACGGAACATGCATTTAAAAACTGATCAGATTACACTGGGTTCCTACCAGTGCATCAGGCCATTCTGGTTCATTGTTATAAGCCAATCACATTGAATGAAACACCCCGACCTATTCATAGCATTAAATAACTTACATGCGCTCTACATTCTCCAAGTATTGATTTAAAGTATTCTTCACCATTGTCAACATAAGTCAAGGTTACCTTGTGATCTCCTTACACGGCACATTATTAATCATGATAAATAGATACTAAACAGCATTAGACTTTATTCTTCCACCCGCCAAATAACTCCGGGACTGTCTATTCTCCTCTAATTTCTGTTTCCTTCTCTTACAGCCGTGTTGTTTTGCCGATATCTGTAGAAGAGGTAAGAATGTATTTATTTTTAACACTTTAAATCACAGCTGGCATCTGAAAGATCTCTCAAATTATTTCTTAGCTTCTCTGGAAATGTCACCATTTAATAAAACATTGGAAATCATCTATAACTTGTCTAAACTTATTTTTGTGTAATGTTTCATTTTAAGTTTATAATAAAGATATTTGTAATTGACATCAAAATCCATCTCCGTCTTGGCATACCCAGGGTAGACGTTGTACATTTGTTTTTACTCCCCTCTCTATGCTGGTTGATGGGTGCAAAGGCATGTGGGTTTTTTTGTTGTGTTTTTGTTTTTGTTTAGTCTGCATGGATATGCAATTCCAATATATAAATAAATACAGCACTGTGGATTTCTACATTTTTATTTTTCAGACATATTTGTTAAATATAGAGTAAACCTATTAATCAATATTTTGGGTAATGATGGTTCCCCTTTTATAGTTTAGGGTGGAACCTCTAGGATTTGAAGAATTCATGGCTGTGTTCTATGACTCAGACCTTACATAGATGACTAAAACCACACATTATGATGCAAGTACACTTTATGGCAGGAGATCTGTTTTATTAAATAGTGAGTAACTCTGACTTAACTGACGTGGATATATAACTCAGTCGGAAGGAATTTCTAGTTTCAAACAAGGTGGATACATTTTTTTTTTTTTTTTCTTCAAGTTTGCCTTTTTTTTGGCAAGATGTTTGCAGCTGGCCACTGTTCTGTAAATACATGCTTTATAGTTCCAGGTAAGTGAGAAGGTGGACAGCTGATGTTTACATCTCCTTCTTAAAGTCCAGTTTTGTATCAAAACCGGTGTTTTAAGTTTTTATAATAAGGGCCTGATTAACTCAAGCATGAAGTGCGCAGGGCAATTGTTCAAGCATAATGTAAATCATTGATCAACTGCATGTTGTCATAGATACAGCATGTTAAGCCAGTCAGTTGTCCAAACACCACATTGGTAATTAAAACGGTCTTGGATACTGGCGTTGCTGATATCTGTCTCAGCGCTTCCCTCCCTCTTCCAGTCACGTGTGGTGTTCCTCATGGCTCCATACTCTGCCCCCTGCTATTCACATTATTTATAAATGATCTGCCAAACGTGTGCAAATCCTCAACTATATACATGTATGCAGACGACACTAATCTACGTTAGTAAACCCAAGCTGCCGCAGCTTGAGGCTGTGCTCCAAAACCAATTCAGAGGTAGAAAAGTGGATAGCGGATAACAAACTTTTCCTAAACACTGACAAAACTGTTAAAATTATCTTTGGAACTGTACCTAAATTACGTAAACTATAAAATCAACAATTGTGTATCAGAACAAATTCAAATAGCACACTGACAGCAGTCTGCTCTTATAAATATCTAGGTATGTTGCTAGACCCCAATCTATCCTTTGGCCTTCACATTGAAAAAATCTCTTCAAAACTAGGTGCCCGACAGAAACAAATCCTGCCTAAGCCCTACAGTATGGAAACCATGCAAAAATGCTAATGCCGGTCATTGATTATGGGGATGTAGTGTATGTACCCACACCGCAAACCCACCTTAATAAACTTAATACGTTATATAATTTGTTCTGCCACTTTGTACTAGAATGTAATTACTCTACCCACCACTGTGACATGTTAAAAGAGCTAAACTGGCTGTCGCTGGAATCCCGACACACTCTTCATTTTTCCAGCCTTGTGCATAAGAGCATTTCTGGGAAGCTCTCACCCTACCTGAGTAGAATGCTCTCCCCGGCTGTTCCCACCTCCTATAACCTCCGATACAGTACTAGCACAATATTTAGCATACCACAATACAAAAATAAAGTGACTCGATCCTTCTTTTCCTACAGAGCACCGCAATTATGGAATAACCTCAGGGACACAGTCAAATCTTCATTAAATCTAAAATCTTTTAAGAGATCTATAACGATATACCTTGGTACAGAACGCACCTGTCATGGTTGAATATATGTATTACCTGTTATATATTAAATTTATATATGTGTATGTGTGTGTGTGTGTGTATATATATGTGTGTGTGTATATATATATATATATATATATATATATATATATATATATATATATATATATATATATATATATATATATATATATTTTGTATATTGTATCCTATTATAACAATGCAATGTTTTGTGGACACAGGACATATTTGAAAACAAGAGAAATCTCAATGTATCCATCCTGGTAAAATATTTTATAAATAATAGAAGGTCCTTCTGCTCTCCCAAGCATAGCAACCACAGTGCATGCGCTGCGGTTGATATAAAAAAAAAAAAACCTCCCTAGCCACGCTTGTAATGCTGGCTAGAGAGTATGGGAACAGAGTGACTGAGGTCACTTCATTAAGATTCCAGGGTTCTATTAAATTTCTCTACCCCCGTCACCTGTGGTGACGTGACCGCACCGGAAGTGAGGCACGAATCAGCTAGAGGTAGACTTACCCGTCTACTGTACTCTTGCTCATGCACGGGAGTAGAGTGTTGAGGTCTATGGGGCATCCAACGAGACCACCGGATCCTCCATACACCCAGCCAATTCCCTACAGCTGTCGCGGGTGATCGCTGCAGCCAGGGATTGACACTTAGGCTCTGCCTTGTGTCACAGTAAGTAAGGCGGAGGAGAAATAGAGAGAGAGAATGTAGTCTCTACTTTGTCTCTGTTTATCTCTTGAATGGGTTGAAATTTCAGTGAAATTCCAACACCGTCATAATGACTATATCATAATTCTATTTTGGAGGGGGGTGACAGTGTCACTTTAAATGAAATAAATTTGTATGTAGTGCAACCTTTCATTGTTTGACTCATAGTAAATACTTACTAGAGCTGATTTGAATCTTCCCTCCAGCTTTTACTTTGTTGACCCAGTGATTCATTCAAAGCCGCAGAGTCCAAAGGACAATATAGCAATCGACCTATATACTCTAGAATTAGAATTCCTTTTCTTGGTGTTTCATTGTTCCCACTAATTAGTGCAGTTTTCCAGAGCTTTTGCTAACACTATGAAAGAGAGTCCAATTATATCAGTCAGTATAATGTAAAACATTGTACTGTAGCTGATCAGTCCTGCAAAGCCTCGGGCCTGCCCAGAAACTCCATAACATTGCAGAATAATCTTAATTCCTTGGTATTTAAAAAAAAAAAAAGTTACAATCCCTGATAAATGACCAAACCAACGAAAAACGGAGCTGCAATCATCGTGTGTTCGGTCTTTCTTACTGTCTTTTTACTCTGCTTTACAACGTTACTTTTTTAAATTCTACCTGTGTTTTCCTGATGTTTGTCTCGTACTGTTCAGGGCTGGGTCAAACCATTTGTTACAACTTACAAAACGCATCATGTAATGTGCTGTAAAAACCAGCTGTGCTCGCTAGTTGTGCAGCATATAATTTTGTGTTCTTTTTCCCCCCCCTTTAAGTAAATAATCAATAATAATAATTAAATGTATTTTAAAAAAAGGGAAACAAAAAACATTCAGAATCCGTAAACAATCATCTCATTCTGTGTATAACATCAGTTGTTTCTCTGGTTAGAAGTAAAGACATTGCAGGACATACTGATGCACAAGTAAACCACAAATACGGCTGATCGTATGTATACTGGCCCCAAGGCGCCAAAACAATACACCAGATGTATTCTGCAGTCACAAAATAACAACAAAGTATTTAACCAGGAAAGGTACATTCATATATTATCTGGTTTCAAAGTACATCCTGGTAGTGTTACTTTTTGCCCAAGTCCAGGGATGTTACTATTACCCAATTTATTGGTCCTCTTTTTATCTATCTGAGAAGGATGAAGGGGGCTGACTGTACCCTGCCGGGAATTGAACCTGCAACACTCAAGGGTTGAACAGATTCTACTGATGATGCATTAGCCCACTGAACTATCTCATAAACTTAAATGAAAACATATATACTATTATCAATTTCCTGTTCGTAGCTGTCCTGTGGCTGAGGTGAAGCAGTGTTGCTGCTATTATGTTTTTATTTATTTAGATTTTTGCTTGTTTTACGTTTTGTCATTATCTGTGCTGCCAACCTTAACACTTATTTGTCCTTTTAATCTATCACTCTTTTGTTGGTATTTTATATATACTTTTTTACCTGTTTTTTGAGTCATTACCGTTTTAAACATGTAGCTCTGCATGATCTTATTTTGGGAGTCTATCTTTCTAGACATCTCTAGGCCTGTGCTTCAGCCTCGCATTTCACTTCTATACTCCATAAGTGCAGTATCCTACACAAATGTGTGATTGGAAGATTTGAGGTTTTAACACTGTGTTAAAGGGAGGACCCTATAGTGCCCCTCTCCCTCCCACCCCCCATCCCAAGTTTCTGAAGGGGTTAAAACCTCTTCAGTGACTTACCGGAGTCCAGCGCTGATGTCCCTCTGGCTGGGTCAGGATCCGCCTACTCTCCTCACCCGCCATCAGCCGGCGGGGGAGACCTAATGCGCATGTTCGGCAATTGCCGCTGGAGGTCCTCACATAGCGTGAGGAGGTCCAGCATTGTTTAAAGCACTTTTCGTGTTCTAAGAAGGACTTAACCCTGCAAGGTAATTATTGCAGTTTATCAAAACTGCAATAATTACACTTGCAGGGTTAAGGGTGGTGGGAGTTGGCACCCAGACCACTCCAATGGGCACAAGTGATCTGGGTGCCTGGAGTGTCCCTTTAAGAATACTGGTAGATTCATGATTACAATTCTACTAGACAGACGCTACATTAAACCTTCCTATGTGTATTCTACAGCTTTGGGAAAAAAAATATTAGGTGCCCTTTACCTCTTGGGGAATGTAAATAATATAGATACCCATGATTTTTCTTCATACCATAGTGAATCAAATCATCATCTACTTTGAGATATTTCCACTTTCTTTGCAGTATTTCTCCAAAAAATGCAGGTAGTGAACTCAAGAAATTAAATAAGTCTAGCTATTCTGGATCTAACTAAACACAGGTTTCTAGTTCCTCTCTTTGGGCACTGGAGGAAATTACTGTAAAGTGTTTTGTTGTTGTTGTTGTTGTTGTCATAATAGGTTGTGGCCCGCACTTAAAGGGACACTAGAGTCACCCAGACCACTTCAGCTCAATGAAGTGGTCTGGGTGCGTTGTCCCTCAGGTTTTAACCCTTCAGATGCAAACATAGCTACTATGTTTGTTTACATTTGGGGTTAATCCAGCCTCTAGTGGCTGTCTTCCGGACAGCCACTAGAGGCGCATCTGCCACGCTGGAGGCATATTATTCCTCCATCGCGCAGAGCGTCCATAGGAAAGCATTGAGAAATGCTTTCCCATGAACACTTTGAATCCACGTGCGGCACTTGCCCCACATGCGCATTCGGCTCAGCTGACGTCGGCGGGGGAGGAGAGGTCACCAGCACCGAGGGAGTCCGGCCCTGGAATAAGGTAAGCTGCTAAAGGGGTTTTAACCGCTTTGTTTTCCTGACACTATAGTGATCCTTTAATAGAACTCTGTGCCCATATGTCAGGATGGTTGCCTGGCAGCACCCAGTCTTTGAAGTCTTTCTTTGCCATCTTCCCTTCATCCCACATTCATCCTTTTCCATATTTTCTTTACAGTGCTGCTGTTTCTTTCCAATAGTTTCTCTGTTACAATTGTTCAAGAAATATATTACAATAACCAGCAGATTGTACTTTGTCCTTTTAATGATCTGTGACAACCATTAGTAATCCCTGGGAATCTTAGATAAGAGTTAACTATTAGGTGACTGTGTAAAAGGCATGTTCACCAGAACACTTGTCAACCTGTGCTACGATATTTAGCATTCTGTTAAAGCACCATAAATGCATTCAATAAAGATACATCACAAACATGTTTTTTCCATGTGAACATTTTGTTCACTATAATTTTTCTTTTTATAGTGAAAACTTGCCCCTGTATGTTTATTTCAGTGTTAAAAGTAGGAATTGGCAAAGCTTAATACAAAATGCCTAATCTCACGTCTACTTTAATGTTTTGTTATGGTTTTATGTATTTTTTTATTTTTTTTAATTTATTTTTTATTTTTTTAAACTGAATCTGCAATTTTACAGGAATTGGTGACTTCTTTGTTTCCTGCTGTGTTCTCGGCATGTAGTCAAGATACTGAACATCAACACCAAGGCTGACTAAGTCTCTAGCAAAGCCTCACTTACATAGCATAAATGTTTAACAGGCATAACTGCAGATCTGCTAAACATGTTGTTGCCTTGTTGGTCTATATTAAAGGGACATTATAGGCATCCAGATCACCTCATTTCATTGAAGTGGTCTGGGTGCAATGTACCTGTCCCCTTAGGCCTCAGAGAAACTGTTATGTTTATAGTTCAGACTAAGGCTGTCTATTGTGGCCTTTTTTCAGATCGCCACTAGAGGCCCTTCCTGCATCTACACAGAGTTTAAATCCGTGAAAGGAAGCTGGACGACCTCATGCTGTGTATGTGTGGTGTGATAGGGACTGTAGCTTTGGGGGCAATAAAGGCTGTAGATGTGGGAATGGAAATAATGTCTGTCATATAAGGGGTATATGGGTTGTAGTGTTTGGAAACAAAGGCTGAGAAGCAATTATACAAATATATTTTTTATAAAACCAAAAACAAAAAAAAACCCAACTCAAGATGTATTTCCCCCTCACTATGACTTACCTTGACCGTGTACACTCAACAGGTGCAGACAACTACGTCATGCTGGTGCTGGAGATAGTATCAGAGCTTTTATTTATTAACCTCTGATACAGACGCCACAGTAGTTCAATCCCCTATGCACTAGTGTGGGTTGGCTCTGAAGACCCTTCTCTAAGCCGGCACTCGGGTAGCGCTGACACTGCAGAAGCCTTTTGGAGAGATCCTCTTGCGGCCCACCAGTCTTTCACTTGGTTTGCCCTATAGCCAGTCTGGGCCTGGTTGTGATTGACAGTTGAGGAGGTGTAACAACGCTCCTTCATAAAAGTGCCAATTTCTATTGAAATCTGCAATTTTATAAAATAGAGAGGGAGGGGGTTAGACATTCTTTAGTGAACTGAAGTGCTTATGGCCTGTTCTTTTAAAGGATTACTTAAACACTTTAAAATTACTTAAAATTACTTACAGGATTACTTAAACACTTTAAAATTTATATAAAATAATAAAATATTGGGCATTATTATTATTTAGGTCCTTTTGCTTCCCTATCTCTAGAAAATAAAAAAATTGAGTGCCAGGCGAGGCTTCCAACTTGGCTTTCCCCCATGATGTCACAGCAGCCGCGAGCTGTCCATTCAAGGGCTTCTCATAGAGAAGACTGTGATTGAACCATTTAACCGGTTTAGAGCTAATTTGCGCACTCTGAGCCCTCAAGGGGAGGAAAATGTTAGAAAAAATAAATGCGTTGATTTGGAGGCGGTGAGGGCTGCATGAAAGGAGGGAGGGAGGAGATATCGAAGCTTTCCCTTAAAGGCTGTGCCTGCAAGGGCAATCTCAATACGTTCGTTGCCAGCATGCGGTGTGCTCGGACAACAGATACATTTTATGCACAGAATCTATTTCTGGCTGCCAAAGTCACATATGCCAGGAGTGCAACTAGTCCCCAGCACACAAGTGCTAGTATTTCAGCATGTTCAGTGTTTCAAACTGAAACAGTGCACATACTGACTCCTACCACCATGACCACTTCAAATCACTGAAGTGGTCATAGTGGTTGGAGTAACCTTTTAAGTAAGAAAACACACCTTTTAAAAACATGAGTGTCTGCAGCATAGGGCCAGAGATGGAAAGTCCTCCCCCAAAACTGCCCTTACTATTGATTAAATGGTGGCCAAGAGTGCCTACACAGTTTAACCATGTGGATGTTACTGCCTCTAAGAATTCATAAATTGTGAACAAAACTGCATGCATTTTGTCATGGTGAAAAAACTACCACTCTGATTATAACTCCCCCAAAATAAAATCTAGTTACTCCGAACCTTAAGTTGCTCTGTCGCTTTCTGGAATCTTTGCATACTTTGCAGAGACCCCTGATGGTGACTCTGCCACTTGCTGAGTTTTACTTATCTGAGCCTGTCCTTCCCGTCCACTGCCACCTCGTTCCGTAGGAGCCTCTACAGCTCCTGGAGCTTAATCTGCTAGGAGCTGACTTTTGTGCATTACTCTTGCTCATTCACAAGAGTACAACACTGTCTGTGGAGGATCCAGCGAGAACCTCTATAGACTAAGCCTCTTTACCGACTGGGGGCTTGAGAAAGCCTGACCGCTCCTTTTTTTTTTTTTTTGTTTTTTTTTTTTATCTATTTTTTTCCCCCCCCTTCAAGCATTGACAAAATACATAAAACAAAGTGTCCCGTTCACTTTTAGTGTAATCCGGCTTCAGTTTTGAATGGAATTCCAACAGTCTTTATGAGCCTTTCATAAAGATGTTATCTTTATGAAATACTCATTGGGGAGAGGACAGACCAGGTGTAAATGTTACTCTTCCTATGGTCATGTACTAAGTGTTGCGAAACTCCAAAAATTACAATGATTTCATATTTTCTTCCAATTCCCTCATTCCTCATTATCTTATCTCACTTCCTGCAATCCGTGGAACCTTCCCTTTATCTCTGTAGGATGGTTTATAACCGGAGGGAAATTGTGTGTGACATGATCCATCCTATAATAATGTAAATTTATGAAAATGTATTGTTCGCCTTGTTCTGTCTTTTTGTAAGTTCCCTATTATCTATATATGTTATTGTGCACGTGTAAATGTTCTGAAAAGTGCACGGAGAGATTATTGCCTCTTCAGACGCGATTGACAGCTGCTGCTGACTATAGAAAATGTGTGTAACCATTTTATCCTGTGAAATGCTAGGCAGTGAAACTGTTAAATTTACATTAGAGGCTTTCCAAGTACCAAATACACCTTTACTTCTTATGTAAGTTAAAAGGACGCACCATAACCACAGCTGTCTTCTGTAGTGATTATGGTGTCAGGAGTGCCTTGGTAATGGTATCAGGAGTACCACAGCCACACCATTTTAGCAAGAAAATCCTTGTAGGATGGCACTCATAAGATGCTCTATACCAGAATTAGACAACCTTCATAACCCTGGATATTGTGGACTACATCTCCCACAATGCTTTTTCAGCCGTAATGCTGGCAAAGCTTCACTGAAACATAGGATGTGACGGCAGATAAGAACCATTCGGCCCATCTAGTCTGCCCAATTTTCTAAATACTTTCATTAGTCCCTGGCCTTATCTTATAGTTAGGATAGCCTTATGCCTATCCCACGCATGCTTAAACTCCTTTACTGTGTTATCCTCTACCACTTCAGCTGGAAGGCTATTCCATGCATCCACTACCCTCTCTGTAAAGTAATACTTCCTGATATTTTTAAACCTTTGCCCCTCTGATTTAAGACTATGTCCTCTTGTTGTGGTAGTTTTTCTTCTTTTAAATATGGTCTCCTCCTTTACTGTGTTGATTCCCTTTATGTATTTAAATGTTTCTATCATATCCCCCGTCTCATCTTTCCTCCAAGCTATACATGTTAAGATCCTTTAACCTTTCCTGGTAAGTTTTATCCTGCAGTCCATGAACCAGTTTAGTAGCCCTTCTCTGAACTCTGTCTAAAGTATCAATATCCCTCTGAAGATACGGCTCCAGTACTGCGTACAATACTCCAAGTGAGGTCTCACCAGTGTTCTGTACAATTGCATGAGCACTTCCCTCTTTCTACTGCTAATACCTCTCCCTATACAACCAAGCATTCTGCTAGCATTTCCTGCTGCTCTATTACATTGTCTGCCTACCTTTAAAGGGATACTCTAGTCACCCAGACCACTTCAGCTCAATGAGAAATGCTTTCCTATGGACACTTTGAATGTGCGCGCAGCACTTGCCGCGCATGCACATTCGACATCGCTGACGTCGGCCGGGGAGGAGAGGTCACCGGCGCTGGATTAAGCCAAGTGGCTGAAGGGGTTTAGTGTCAGGAAAACCGCTTTGTTTTCCTGACACCATAGTGATCCTTTAAAGGACCACTATAGTGCCAGGAAGACATACTCCCGCCCGGCTCTGGAAAGGGGAAAAGGGGTAAAACTTACCTTTTTCCAGCGCTGGGCGGGGAGCTCTCCTCCTCCGATCCTCCTCCGTTCCTCCCCGTCGGCTGAATGCGCACGCGCGGCAAGAGCTGCGCGCGCATTCAGCCGGTTGCATAGGAAAGCATTATCAATGCTTTCCTATGGACGCTGGCGTGCTCTCACTGTGAAAATCACAGTGAGAAGCACGCAAGTGCCTCTAGCGCCTGTCAATGAGACAGCCACTAGAGGCTTTGGGGGAAGGCTTAACCCATTCATAAAAATAGCAGTTTCTCTGAAACTGCTATGTTTATAAAAGAATGGGTTATCCCTAGCTGGACCTGGCACCCAGACCACTTCATTAAGCTGATGAAGATATTGAGGTTAGGACTTTATCAAAATATTCTGTACTCTGCCTTTGGGTTTTTACGTCAAAGATGCATTATCTTGCACTTATCCACATTAAATTTAATTTGCCACAGCTCTGATAGTTATTCTAATTTAGTCCACAACATCTGCGGTGCTGAAGGATGCTACCCTGCTCTAAGCCATTGATGGTTGTCCTGAAGTTGTGAAACCGTTTTAGTATGATTCTTACAGAGCCAGGGCACGCCTGCCACCATAACCACTGTAGGTTCCAACTAAAAAACATAGCCCGCATTCGCCCCTTTCTTACGCAAGATGCTACCAAGGAGCTTGTCCATGCTCTAGTAATTTCCCGCATGGATTACTGTAACCCTCTCCTGATTGGTCTCCCCAAAAGCCGTATTGCCCCGCTACAGTCTGTAATGAATGCTGCAGCTAGACTGATTTTCCTCTCTAGTCGGTCCTCTCACACCTCACCCCTCTGCCGGTCCTTACATTGGCTCCCTGTATGCTATAGGAGTCAATTCAAAGTGCTAACCCATACATTTAAAGCACTGAACAGTTCTAGCCCCGCTTATATCTCTTCACTGATCCATAAATATGCCCCTCCACGTACCCTCCGCTCTGCCCGTGACCACCTCCTGACCGCTGCTCGCACCCGTACGGCCAACTCGCGCTTGCAGGACCTCTCGCGGGCGGCTCCTCTCCTATGGAATAGCTTGCCTACTGCCATCAGACTCTCCCCTAGTCTTCAATCATTTAAGAAGGGCCTTAAAACCCATCTCTTCAGGAAAGCTTATGGCCTCCCAGAGTAATCTCTACCTTACATACCTGTCTCCTGCTCTCTCCTATGGGACAGTGCTTTGCTCTCTCCTCCAGCTCTGCTTCACTCCTACTTGATATTTATTGTCCTAATGTTTCAAATACCCCACCTCCAATAGTCTGTAAGCTCGTTTGAGCAGGGTCCTCTTCAACCTATTGTTCCTGTAAGTTTTCTTGTAATTGTCCTATTTATTGTTACACCCCCCCCTCTCAAAATATTGTAAAGCGCTACGGAATCCGTTGGCGCTATATAAATGGCAATAATAATAATAATAATAATAATCCTAATGTGTCTTGGTAGGAAACTAGTTTCTTTCCCATATTTGTTTTATTTTTTTTATTTCCTCCCCATTTTCTTTGTGTACATTTTAGAGAAGTGAAACTGCATTACAGAACAAAACCAGTTTAAGAGGAAACACATTGCAGATTACGTTAAAAAGGTGAATATAGTGCAAACAGACCTAAACGAACCCATGTTACAGTGCCATTTTTGGGCTGCTTGACATTGGGGTAGCTTTGTGCAGAGTGAGCGTGAATATTTTTGTTTACAATTGTGTAAATGGAAGTTCTTTTCATACTGTTCGGTTATTTTATATGCTCATATGTAAGCAGATTAATAAATGTACTGTATTGTGCCTCGGATATTGATTCTAAAATGTTAAACCCTTTAATAAAAAGAGGATCTTCCTCCTTATCCTACAGTTTAGATTTTACCGTACTTGATAAACTGTATAGTATTTGTTTTTACTTTTTTCCTAATATATACTTATCAGAACAAATATGTAAATATTTGAAAGATATCTTATCTGTGTTCCAGTTAGCATATTAAGCATTTCTTAGAACACTCACAAGATCTATTTGTAGATCATGTTAACATATGTTTGCTTTTTCTTCAACTCTTGTCAAATAGATTAATAAGAATTTTAGCAAACTGGTGTATTTTTGTAGGGCATTCGTCTACATTGAGTTAAAAGGTTCCACAGTGGAATACTGGGAGCAAATCAAGAAAATACATTTGGCTTGGCCCATCACCAAATATTCTGCTTTTTTTATTAGTGTACTTTTCTTTTATCTTGACTGAAAGCTTGAGGATCTCGATGGTGCTGTGGAATGGCCACCTTAAAAAGACACTGTAAGCATTCTAGGTGTGTAGACAGTAGTGGTTATGGTGCTTGGAGTGTTCAATTTTAAACAACTCTTGGATTATTCTAATTGTAAGAATTCTCTGAGTACAGTCCCTTTTTTGTTTCATGGTTTGGCAAAAATCATGGATTCTTGGCACCATAAGCCCAAAGTTAATCTGTCTCATTATTTCTCCAATATATTTGTATGAGCAGTCCGAAACTGGCCATACCAAATAACAAATCCTATTTTCTTTACTCCCTACTTTATTTTATCATAAATGCAACAGGTTTGATTCAAAACAGATTTTGTTGTCATACAGCATTTAAACAGTGATCTCTTATTAAATGACCATTTTGATATTATACCAACAGTTTTAATCCTTGAGACCATTACAGTCTGTGTTGGCCCATCCATTGGGGCACTTAAGGCAGAACCTCTTTATATAACCTGGAATGCTTTGCATAAACCTAGTGTGCCTTTTTTATTTTTACTTTTAATTTTGTTAGGTTTTGTTTCAAAGGTAGTGGTAGTTTTAAAACTGTTGTTGATATACTGTTTTTCTTTTTAATGCAAATAAATGTACTTGTTACTAGGCTTTTCAGTACACCTGTACAGATTATGAATTTTAAAAAGTTCTCTGTGGGTGAATGAACAAGATGCAGACTGGAGATGACTCCCTATTTCCCATTTTGGCTCTTTATGATCTGTTCTTACCTTTTTAATTTTTCTGCTCGCACTGTGATTACCCAACATATTTACCCTCCTATCCCAAGATTGCTGTCTTTTCCACTCTTGCTGAAACACATGGACCACCTTGAGGACTCTGTCATTTTATTACTCATGTGATTTTTGGATGCAGTTAGAGAGTATGTTGATACCCCCAGCAACCAATGTGGGTTGACAGTTTTCCTCTGAAGTGCAAAGGCAGAGACCCTAAACCCTGCTTGCTTGATGACCATTGTCTGGGCAGTATTCACTGAGTTTCTATGTGCAGCAGATGACCGGGGACATTCCTGGAGGGTTACAAGGGGCAAGTTTCAATGACATGGTAGAAGGACGCATGTCAAGCCATGGGAGTCCACAAGGCTACCTTCTGGTTCTGCTACTGGGAGAGACTTTGATGCCAGGAAGTCTTGCCAGTGAAGCACAATGTTACAGGCTTCAAGAACTGGTTGGTGACCGTTCCTGGCTCTTTACAGTTTTTGTCCTTCGCGCTATGAGAAGTCTAGGGTTCAATAGTTATTTACTCCTGCAGTATTTGTCTTGCTTTTATCAATGAGTCTGCTAGCTCACTGGGCCACTACGTTGTCTTGTATAGCAGAGCTGTGTTTATTTCTTTATTTTTCTTCCAGTTTACTCTTTATTTTAGCGGTTTGTTCCGGTGAGTTTAATTTTCTATCAATTTAGTCGTTGTGTCTATGAGCCTATATGCTTATACTTGCCTTCTTTCCATAATTTTATAACACTGAGGCATAATTGGTTTTGTCTGCAAATTAATGTACCCATGGCATAATGTTTTCTTTCTTACTTCATATTTGCCTTGTCTCATGAAATGTTCTCAATGCCTAGGCTGCTGGCTGGCTGGGGAGAAAATATTGTGTAACTTGAAACTATACAAAGTGACTTCTAAAATATCAAATATATATGATATATAATCTATATCTTGATATTTTAGAAGTCACTTTGTATAGTTATATATATATATATAGTGTGTGTGTGTGTGTGTGTATATATGTATATGTGTGTGTGTGTATTTCTTCTGTAGCCAACAAGTTATTTTTAGTGTCCTTGCTCTCTGGGATGTTGAATTCAAGAGAGTTTGTTGTAGCCTTGAATACTTTCACCCTGGCTGCCTTCTTTATTTGTGTACCAGAGATAGTCAGAGGCTGTCTGGGAGACAGGCACTAGAGGCTGGATTAACCCTGCAGTGTAAATATAGCAGTTTCCCTGAAACTGCTATGTTTTCAGCTGCAGGGTTAAAACTAGGGGACCTGGTACCCAGATCACTTCATTAAGCTGAAGTGGTCTGGGTGCCTATAGTGGTCTTTTAAGCGCCTCTAGTAGCTGCTCTTGGCCAAGTGACGTTTTGGGGGGGGGGGGAGGGGGGACTGTATTTGTATAAACAAACCACTACAGTAATATATTGTGGTTTTGGTGCTTAGTGTCTCTCTTTAAGACCTCTGAGTTAAAAAAAAAAAAAAAAAGCGAATACAAAGAGGGGTACAGATGTTGAATTACAGGTAAGTTACACAGTTGTTTTTTTTTGTGTGTTTAAAAAAAAAAATGTTTAACAGTTGTGGAGACTAAAAAAATAACACTCCTACATTAAAAATACATTTTGTGTATTAATTCATTTAAAGGGTCATTGTAGTCACCAGAACAACTACAGCTTAATATAGTGGTTCTGGTGTCTATAGCATGTTCCTGCAGGCTTTTCAATGTAAACGCTGCCATTTCAGAGATTTTTGAAAACCAAAATGCAAACCCATGTGAACATTGCAGGGTTGGGGACATTTTCCCAAGTTACCACTTGTGTCTAAATTTAGCAATATGTTTTTCAGCTCGATTCTGCGTTTTTCATATAGAGCTGTTCCGTAAACGTAGGTGCCTACTTGATGTGAATGTGGTTTAACTTACAAGTAGGCAAGTGTTAGAATATATAACGTAGTAAAGACATTGAAAGCGACACATATTTACAGATTTTCATTTGACTAATAAAAGCAGCATCTTTTGCGTGATGATGGGTTTTTAATTAGACTTTCAGTTGACTAATCTCTCACTTGTTATAATGAATCTTAACGTGGTTTCCAACTTTTAATGTTCTGATTAATCACATTAATTACTAATGTCCTTTTTATTGTGTTGCAAGGTATCATAATATTTCCGTTTCTAATGGCGACAATCTGCACAGCTTGTGCTGATCTCTACCGGTAGATCATTACTTTTTATTTGTATAAAGCTGAATATGAGTACACAATATTAAAGGTACAATCCCCAGCTAAGGATGTATGCAGATCTAGATGGTCAATTCTGATGAAGCCCTGAGAGGAGAAACACGTTAAGTGTCGTCCCTAGCATTTATTGGACATTAATGTTTTTGATTTTATAAAGTATTTTAATTTATATAATAAAGGTAAACATTTTTTATGCTGTTTAGATTTACCAAATACTGTAATTCACCCCCTACCTGCTTCCTGGATATCTTTAATATCCCACGGTGGGGTTATACCACCTAAGACTCATTACACTAGAGCAAGTCCTGCTCTAGAAAGTGTAAGTACATTTCTATTTACTCATTTCACTTATATGTACAAATTGCACCACTGTAGTAGTTTTTTGCTTCTGTGTTCTATATTATACAAGCAACCTCATATTTAGAGCACCTCTGCCATATAGATCTGCATACATCCTTAGAAGATACTTGTACCATCCGTGCATAATATAGCAGAGCTCTTAGTTAGCCCTAGAAAACTTGAGTGGAGTACCTACACGAGCCTGCCTAGAGTTGCACTTTATTCATTGCACTAATATTTGTTTCTGTTCTCTTTTTGAGGCTACTATTAACCTAAACATCCTAATAAGTTATTAATCTCAAAACATCCTGAAAGGTATATAATCTGTAAATATTACACATAGACGTTTTTGGTGTGTGGTGTTTTGTTGTTTGTTTTTTCTAAGGAAGTTTAAAAGTTAGATCTCTCTTTACAGGAAGACTGTAGGTCACACGTAGGGGAGGTGTGACTATGGCTGCTTAATCAAAGGGATTTAACTCCTAAATGGCAAGAAGCAGAGAATTGCACATTGAGACTGCAAGGGCTTGATCCATACACCAAAAGCACTTAATTACGCTGAAGTTGTTTTGGTGCATAGAGTATCCCTTTAAGAACACCAATGAGGCACAGTTTGTCATTTTGCCAGTTGTTAGGTGACCCACCTCCACCCGCAGATTGTCATTTTACTTGCCTCTTCTCCCTCACCGCACCAGACTCTACGTAGAAACTCTGCAGGAAAGCTCCAAAGTAAATTCACAACGAATCCAATTGTTTCATATAGGCCATTGTGCATCTGCGGCAGAAAGTCACTTTGTGCCAATCAGATGGTCTCTCTGAAACCATGTGATAGACGTAGTAACAGCCGCCGGAGGCATTTAAACCTTGCAATGAAAACATTGCTGTTCTGCATAAAAGAGCAGGAAAAATAAAAAAGCAATGATGACATTACGACTGGTGATTGAACATGTAAAAGGCCTAGTTTAAAAAAAAAAAAAAAAAAAAATACAACTTGTTTGAGCAATTTAAATGTAACCCAAGGCGTTGACAGGTTTTACATTTTTAGTGTTTGAACTATGTATAGCTCAAGGTATATAACTAACATACTCCTTTATGATGCTTTTACACCCATCACACAAACCTCCGTCTCCTCTCCTCCAGCGTAGTTCTGTGTCAGCAACAGATGGAGGAGGTGAGGTCGGAGTTACTACAATCCCTCTTGCCAAGCACGGAAGGTAGAATCCTGCTGCCCTAGGTACAGACCTAGGCCAGAATACATGGCTGCATAGACATGCATACATTTATTGTGCCTGTGTCCTAATTGCTCCAGTACCACTACTTGCTATACTGCAAACAATGACTTCATTTGGGGGTATCCTAAATTAATTTTGTGATTGCAACCGCAATTAAAAATTGTGACCTAGCAATAGGGAAAATGTTCTTGAATGACTTGTTCACTTTAACACTGTCTGTTTCTCCCACTGGAACAAACTCCCAGGCACTAGAGAACTATATGTTTGCAATGTCAGATGTGTGGGAAAGTGGCATTTCCAGATAGTGCGCGGAATAAGACAGAGGGCTTTGTTCTTACCCCGCCTTACAATTTGGATTGCACTGACCTGTTTTATTTCACAAGATGACTTCCAAATGTGTTGTACATTTTTGGTTTTATAGCTACTTTTGTTTAAATGTGCTCGTTAGTCGTTCCGGAGTGTTTTTCTTGGTTCCATAGCAACTGGGTAACAAATATTATGTGTAGACACCACACTCACAGAGATTTATAATACTGTAACCAATATCTGACATCCATGTGGATGAAAATGCAAGCAGGCCTGCTTGTCTGTGCAACAGGATCTTCAGTGAGGGTTCAGTGAAAACTGAGCTTAGGATCTTTTTTTCCATTATTCTAAAACTGAGAAAGCTATAGTGTGTGTGTGTGTGTGTGTGTGTGTGTGTGTGTGTGTGTGTGTGATAGCTAAAGTGTATATTTTTGGGAGGCTGAGAAAGCTAGTGTTTATGCTGGGGGGTGTTAAATAACCTAGTGGGTTTGGCAAATTGGCAAAGGAGGTGCAGTTGAGTGAGAAAGCTATATTGTTTGTGTGCTGGGGGTGCAGGGGGTTGGGTGAGAAAGCTATAGCTTGTGTCCTGAGTGGGCGGGATGCGTGTGACAGCTATTATTATTATTATTATTATTATTATTATTATTGCCATTTATATAGCGCCAACAGATTCCGTAGCGCTTTACAATATTATGAAAGGGGATTTAACTATAAATAGGACAATTACAAATAAACTTACAGGAACAATAGGTTGAAGAGGACCCTGCTCAATCGAGCTTACATTCTATAGGAGGTGGGGTGTAAGACACGTTAGGACAGGAATGTGCAATCAAATAAGGTGGGCTACCCTTTAGGAGAGGGCAAGAGACGGGTATGTGAGGTAGGGGTTAGTCTTGAAGGCCATAAGCTTTCCTAAAGAGATGGGTTTTAAGGCACTTCTTAAAAGATGCAAGACAGGGGAGAGTCGGATGGCGGTAGGCAGGCTATTCCATAGGAAGGGAGCCGCCCGCGAGAAGTCCTGCAAGCGCGAGTTGGCCGTACGGGTGCGGACAACGGACAGGAGGTGGTCACGGGCAGAGCGGAGAGACCGGGAAGGGACATACCTGTGGATCAGTGAGGAGATATAAGAGGGGCTAGAGTTGTTCAGTGCTTTATAGGTGTGAGTTAGTGCCTTGAATTGACTCCTATAGCACACAGGAAGCCAATGTAAGGACTGGCAGAGGGGTGAGGTGTGAGAGAACCGACTAGAGAGGAAAATCAGTCTAGCAGCAGCATTCATTACAGACTGTAGGGGTGCAGTACGGCTTTTGGGAAGACCAAGCAGGAGAGGGTTACAATAATCCATGCGTGAAATTATTAGAGCATGGACAAGCTCCTTGGTAGTATCTGGTGCAAGAAAGGGGCGGATGCGGGCTATGTTTTTAAGATGGAATCTACAGGATTTGGCAACATGCTGGATGTGAGGCTCAAAGGTGAGACCAGAGTCAAGTATGACGCCAAGACAGCGCGCTTGCAAGGATGGGCTGATGTTGGTACCACAAACTTGAAGGGAGAGCGAAAGAGGAGGATCAGTATTAGGAGGAGGAAAGACAAGGAGCTCAGTTTTTGAGAGATTGAGTTTCAGAAAGCGGGAGGACATCCAGTCAGAGATGGAAGAAAGGCAAGCAGTGACACGTTGCAGGACAGCAGGGGAGAGGTCCGGGGAGGAGAGATATAGCTGGGTGTCATCAGCGTACAGGTGGTAGTGGAAACCAAATGAGGTAATAAGTTTGCCAAGAGAGGCAGTATAAAGAGAAAATAGAAGGGGACCAAGGACGGAGCCTTGGGGGACTCCAACCGAGACAGGGCGAGGGGAGGAGGTATCATTAGAAAAAGAGACACTGAATGAGCGTTGGGAGAGATAAGAGGAAAACCACGAGAGGACAGAGTCACAGAGACCAAGCGATTGCAGAGTTTGAAGAAGGAGAGCATGATCAACGGTGTCAAAGGCCGCCGAGAGGTCAAGAAGAATTAGTATGGAGTAGTGGCCTTTGGATTTAGCTGCGATTAGGTCGTTAGTAACTTTGATAAGGGCAGTCTCTGTAGAGTGGAGAGGGCGGAAGCCAGATTGAAGGGGGTCAAGGAGAGAGTTGGAATTGAGGAAATGAGACACACGGGTAAAGACGAGTCTTTCCAGAAGCTTTGAGGAAAAAGGGAGCAGGGATATGGGACGGTAGTTAGAGGGGGTAGACGGGTCAAGGGATGGTTTGTTTAGTATAGGTACTACAGTGGCATGTTTAAGATCAGCAGGGACGATGCCAGAAGAGAGCGAGCAGTTGAAGATGTGTGTTAGAGAAGGCACGAGACAAGCGGAGAGAGATCTGATAAGGTGAGACGGGACAGGATCGAGCGGGCAAGTGGTGGGGCGAGAGGCGCAAAGAAGAGCAGCCATTGTGTATAGCTAAAGGGTGAGTGCCAGGGAGTGGGGCTGGAGGGGGTGGGAGAGACAGCTATAGGGTGTGTGTCAGATGGGGGGGTGACAACTATTGTGTGTTCTGGGGGCTAAGAAAGCTGCAATGTGTATTGGGTACATTATATTTTACATTTGGCAGGGGCCAGGTGCTGTTGCTGTGTTCTCTTCTTCCTTCTCTCTCCTGTGGGCACTATAACTGTATCCCCTGGTGCTATGCACCAGTGATGGCCCTCAATAGATGCCAATAGCATGCCTCCATCACTATGATGGGCAGCTGGCTCTATTGCCTGAATGGCAACTCAATCGAAATGAAATTCTTTCTTAAAGGACGGTAGGCATGTGCAAAGTCTGCTGAAGAAGGGCAGATTTCAAACCAGCGTTGATGCTCTAAGTAAGCTTCTCCAAACCGTTACCAATGAGGGGACAGGGGCCCTACATAAATGAAACATATTACAGAAATTTTCTCCTCCACGCCCTGTTGTTTATTTATTTTTTATATATGGCTTACAAAAATAATCTTAGTGTTTCTAAATAGCTGTAGATAATCTTCTTACTGCCCCCTGTCCCCCATACAAATTGATGGGGCACTGTCCCAAGTACCCCCTATGGGTGAGCCTCCACTGGCTACACCAGTCTTATGCATTTCATGATTTTGTTTGATAGGCTGAAATAATACCCCCAACATTGTAATAAGAAAAAATAGTCATTTCCCTTAAGAAATCATATTTATTTGATTGGAGAACTGAATATATGGAATATCTTGGCATTAATTTATGCACAAATTTGGTAAATATGCATAATCACAACTTGAGGAAAGCATGGTCAGACCTACAAAAAGAGATGGAGAGATGGGGTGGGATAGAGCTCTCATGGCTGGGGAGGGTCGCATCTATTAAAATGACGATACTCCCCAAAATTTTATATTTTTTTTAGGACCCTTCCTCTGTCCATTCCATTATCATATTTTTTTTTTTATTTTTTTATTCTTTATTTATTGCGTGCAGGGAATTACAGAACATGCCCGGTGTGCCACAACAGCATATACAGGCTTTTGATGTAATTACAGATTGTACATTTTCATGGCATTTGAGAAAAATACTGCACATTTTATATTTTATAGTAAGAGTAAACATGTTAAACTAAGTGTTTTTCCGTTTTAAGTTATACCGATGCTAGTACTGGTTCTGTCAGTTGGCTATACGTTAATCAATGACTAAGTTAAATTAACCCGATGTAAAGTATGCTCATGCACGTATACAAATAGTTAGACAAAGATCTATCATGCTTTTAAGAGTACAGTGAATGGCAGATATCAAAAGACAGGCTGATTATACTGACAGGATGAGCATTCATGTTTAGAAAACGATTTATAAGCAAGCTTGAGGATACGGTATACCACCGGGGAGCAGATCTCCTGATCGATAAGGGCACAGGGGTTTGGATGGTAGGATAGCTGAAGGCAGGTCAGTCTCAGTAATAGAAAGTCCCTCTAAAAACCAATGAAAGGTAGCCCCCTCAGCCTCCACTACAGACTTGCTGTGCTGGGGCCGTCCGGATTGCTGCTAGTCGCTGGGTGAGGTCACTGCTGTGTGCTTACTGCCTATGGTGATCAACCCTGCAGCAGGTGAGTGTTCTTCTGCCCTTCCATGTGTCGATAAGCCCCGTGGTGCGGTGATGGTTGCGGGCAGCCGATGTATTTGTGGGTCATAGAAACATAGCGGTCTCCTTGTTTCCCTGCCCGGAGGAGGGAGGAAGCACCGGGACCCCATGGGAGGTCTTACTAAGTCTGAACATGGTGGAGGTGAGTTGCTGGTTAAGGTCCGAGGGTGCTGACTGGTGGCTGTAGATAAAGCTGTGCCGTTGTTGTTAACAGTCCGCCCTGGTTTCTATCAGTGTGGATTCAGCTCGATCGCTCTCGCAGCTCGCGCACATGGAGGCGGCCATCTTGTGGATTGGCGCCCGGGTGATGTTCCCCGCCAGGGTGGTTGAGTAGGCCCAGGTTGGAGCCTGTGCAGACCGGGATAACCCCCCCGGTCCAAAGGGGGGGGGGGGAACGCTAGCCGCCGGCCAGGAGACCCGGGAGAGCGGCCGTCCCATCCCGGCTCAAGCCCCAACAAGCTCCGAGCCCAGCCAGGTTACTGTCGGTGCCGGACAGGCTCCCATGCGGTATCCCCGTTCTCCCCAGTGACTTGGGGTCTGTGTGGTCGTCGGTGGGGTTTGCCGGTCGCGGTTAACCTCCAATTTGCGCCGACTTTCGGCCCTGGAGCGGGAGCTCGGACAGAACGCGTCTGATCCCGTCGGCGGCCAGGCCCCGCCCCCTCCATTATAATTTTTTAATAAAGTTCACTCGACAATGTTGAAATTTATCTGGGGGAACAAGCCTGCCCAAATGAGGCTCACTTCCCTGCAGCACCATAAATCGAATGGCGGTATCGGTGTCCCCGATATCCGCAAATATTATTTTGCCACTAACGCTGCAGTGGTTGTGAGCTTTAACAATCAGGATGATAAACCCAGATGGATGGAAATAGAGGAATCAAAAATTTCACCGGTTAGTTTATCAGAATTACCTTGGTTAAATACTAAGAAAAGACCTGGAATTACAAAATTATTTTTATCTACCAAGACTACGCTTATGGCCTGGGACATTATTTTGTCATATATTTAAAAATGACCAGTCTCCCAGTTTATATAGAGCAATGCCTATTGAGTTATTGAAAGATTATATACCATCCTTAAAAATAGAATTATTGAAGGATTGCTCTATAACTAATCTGGATAATTTTTTTATGGCAGTGCTATTCTTTCTTTGGAAAAAGCTTAAGTATGGATTGTCAAATGTATGTGAACTGGAATGTATGCTAATCATTGATAAATTGAAAGAACTATACCAGGTACCTGAAACAGATAAAAACTATAAATCACTTGAGTTATTTCCTTTAGAGAAATTTTTTTTTTTTTTTATATACAGCCCCGCTAGTAAAGGTATGATATCCTTATGCTACTTATCTCATAATGCCAAGCCCTTAATTAAATTAAAACATATGTTGTCATGGGAGACAGAGTTGGGTGCCCAGTACGACTTAGAAGAATGGTTCGGTTTCTTTAAAGGTTTAAAAGGTATTTCGTATTGCACCGACCATTTTGAAAATCATTATAAAATCTTATATCGCTGGTACCTGGCTCCGTCTAGATTACATAACATGAACAATATGTATTCTGACCGGTGTTGGAGAGACTGTGGGGGAGTGGGCAATATGGCCCATATCTGGTGGTTCTGCCCCAAGTTAATTAATTATTGGAAAATGATCCATGATCTGATTATTAAAGTGAACGGAACCATTAGCATCTTAACATCGGAACTAGCCTTATTTAAAAAACTCCCGGAGTCCGTTAATAGATCAGATAAAATAATCATAGGCCACATTCTGATCGCTGCTACATCCTGTTTACCTAGACATTGGAAGTCCCAAAATGTGCCATCTCTCAGAGAAGTTTTTTATTTGATTTTAGAAAACAAGGCACATGAATTATCACACAGAGCCAATATGCATGGTTTCCCAATACTAAAATATAATTGGGATAAATGGGAAGAAAAAATCAAAACAGTTTATGGTCTTTGATATATTTATAGTTAAAGTGCATTGATGTACAACATTTTTTTTGCCATATACTTTATTATGTTTATTTCCAAGTTACCCCTCCTTTCCTACCCCTAATACAATGTTTGTATTACTATCATTTGTTATACAAAATTTTTAAAAACTTTAATAAAAATTATTTGAAAAGAAAAAAGTCATTTTAATGTACAGTGAGATCAAAACTTCGGAAACATGCTTCATGTTAGATTGATTTGTTATCATTGTGAAATAGCTAGATGAGTGTTTCTGTGAAAAATTACTTGAGTGATGTTACATGTATTTGGATAGTTCAATCTTCTCTGACACGACAAGCTTGCTTTACTGTAGCACATCTGCATCACAATTTCAATTACTGTCCCCGCAAGCATGAGAGAGACTTGCTGGGGTAGTAACAAAGTGTGACCTCCTATTTGAGCAGATTGTGATGACCAAAGTTGCTGAATAGAATCTTGAAGGAGATGGCTGCGCCCACCAGGTACCAGTTCAGGCAAAATTCATGTTTTAAAAAAAAAAAAAAAAAAAAACAGAAGCAATTTAGACTTCCAATTGGAAATAATTCTACCTTGTTTTAGTTTTGTTTAGAAAAGATAAATTGCCAGGCTTCTTAGCAAAGTTGAATCTTGTGGGATCAGCTCACTTATATTTTTTTTTTCATCCACTGCATTTTTTTTCCCTTTTTATTCTAAATGAGATTAAAAGATCAGAAATATCAGGCAGGATTAACGAACGCTGGTCCCAACGTTGCTGGGACCAGCTGATCCTCTTAAAACTTGTCCTGTGACCTGTACAACAGTGATCGGCTATTGGGGAGAAATGGGCAAATGCGTCTATGTTGAGGATCAGCTGCAGGATATGGCATTGTGAGAAGCTGATCGAACTGACCTTAATCAAGAGATTTTAGGTGAAGTGTCAAATATTTGCCCAAACGTGTTGTTTCCATTCATTGAGACATCCGAGAATCCTTTCCACTTTGGACAGAGATATTCATAATTGTGCTTCTACAAATCCATTGCTAATTGTAAAAGTAATATCTAACCTTTCTAGTTGTGCTTGGTATATGTGTACATACATTATATTACATGAGCGTGAAAACTATTAAAATGAGTTAAATGAGTCTTGGCTCTTATTTAAAAGTTTTAGAACGCAAGTTAATATTGTTTGTGTCTGTTTATTACCAAGTACAACTGCAGTGCAGCCTGTGTTATCATTCCCTGATTCATGATTGTACTGACATTTTCCTGCTACTCTTTGCCAAAATAAAATTCCTCTGAACTCTTAACCCCTTCAAAGCTGGGGGGTCATACAGTGTTACTGCAAAGTTTTGTTCCCCTTGCTTCAAAGGGATTTTTGAAAGGGTTACTCCAAGCACCCTGCATATTTCAGTGATTTAAAGTGGTCATGGTGTCTGGAATCTGTACAGAGTTTAACCCCTGTGCTGCTGGAAGTGCAACTGCACCTCGGACAAAGTCCTCAGTCAGCCTGGAGCTGGGCAGGCTAATGTCAGTTCTGTGCTCAGAATGTCTTGTTGCACAGAATGCCAGTTGCTGGCAGAGAGTGGTCAGCTGATGCTCTCAGCCAGTGATTGGCGATGGCCACTGTCTTTAATCTTGTTTTTTTTTTTTTTTTTTGCACAATCCAATATCTATGGTAAAGGTGTGTTTTTTGTTTTTTTTCCCTTGACCTTTTTTCTGATTCCTTAACTTACATTATATGCTTGGATAATACTATGAACTTTATTAACCCCCTCTGTGCGGAATATAAGGGTGATTCAACACATACAGCTCTATGGAAGGATTGCTCAAGAACAAATGCACTCCTATGGTATTTCTTTGCAGATACATGATCACGCCTGGAACATCACAGGGTCATTACATCACCTCGGACACAGACATTTGTACATTTGTTTCTAGGTTACACATTGTATTTAAAGGAAATCTGTATATAGTATCTGGCACGGCCAGTTAAGGCCTCTCATCTCTGAAGACGATCCCCAGGATCTGGAGTTTCCAGAAAAAAGACCGCTATTTAAACTTCTTAGACAGTCTTTGTCTTCCCATTAATTTCAATTAATGATGTCTGCAGCTGTCCCATAAGTCCCTGCTTTTCACTGCTGGTTTATTATACAGGCACAGCAGCATATCACTGACAAATAGCGGCGTTCTTATGAGGAGCAGCAGTACAGATACATGGGTAGTTGACCTCATTTTACAACTGGACCGGTAACTAAGCTCTGGTACTTTTCATTTTTATATATTTATTTTTCTCTGTAAATGAAAAGCACAGTTTCTAGTTTGTTCTTTTCTTTTAGAAATGCAAAACAATGCAGTGAAAGTTGTATATTTCTTTTTAAAAATGTCTCTGGCATCTTTCCATAAACATATATTTTACATGATGCTGTATCTAATGCATTCGTGCATGTTAGATGCATCAATTTAATGGCATTGAAAAGAAAAGAAAAAACAATGCTTTTTCTCAACGGTAGTCATGGTGGTAGGAGACATTTCGTTTGAAGCACAGCACATACAGAATTTAGGTATATTGCTACTGGATGAATGCTACCGGCAATGTCATTAACCAGCCAGAGTTTTGTGCTTGCTAATATGAATTGTGTGCACATTTGGTACCTGTCGCCGGTACGCATAGCATTCTGGCCACCGACGAATGGCGTCACTGCCCTCTTCTCAGCCCATTTTCCAGGACATCCTGCACTGATGATCAGGCCGCAGGGAGAAGTTAGCCTCAGCGTGGGATCACAGGTAAGGTTTTAATTATTTACAGCATGGATTATTCTAATCAAAAAACATGTTTGTTTCTCTGCAAGTTCTAGGTGATTTTCAATGGTGTAATTAGTGTGTGCTTTGAGAGTCTGTTTAAGCTCTTTGTTTAGAAAAAACAAAGTGCTAAGCTTGTTTTCTTTAAGGGTCTCACCTGACTCATTTTCTAATAACATGCAAAATGTATCCCTTCTTGGAATACATGTAAAGTATTGTTTTTCTTTCTAATAATAGAAGTAAATTTTGACGGAAAGAGGTTTTGTTTTCTCCTGTTTATATACACCTCTCTGAACCTTACCTTTGTTTTCTCATAGAATCCATATACAGTAAAATCGCTACAGTGCATTACTAGTATTTACCCATAGAATACACATAGGTATTCATAGTTTAGCCACAATTCCCTTTGACTAATTAGCGGTACTGTACATGCCCCAGTTTCCCTTTAGACCATCTAGCCCCACTGTCCCCCTAAATATAGTAAAATCTTCTTTATTCCAGTCTGCTCTGCCTGTGATCTGCCTGCTTGGCTCACATCATCAGAAGTGGTGGTCTGAGCCAATCACAGTGCTTACCCATAGGATTGGCTGAGACTGTCAAGGATCCGGGGCAGAGACCGCACAAGCCAAACACAGCCCTGGCCAATTAGCATCTTCTCATAGAGATGTCTTAATGCATCTCTATGAGGAAAGTACAGTGTGTGTGTTTGTGTTTGTGTGGTAATACATATGTACAAGCATTCCAGCTATATGTGAAATGTAAATTACATTCATGCACAGTACTGGAACATAGGTCGTGCATGTGTTGTCCATAGGTTGTGTATCTCATCTCTATAGGTGATATTAAGACAACTGAATCTGGGTCTTTTTATACATGTGTGAGATTATATAAACATTAATGACATATATGAGTTAAAAAAAACTGAAGTATAAATTATGTTTTCTTTCCTTTCAGTACCAAGTAGGGCAGCTATATTCTGTGGCAGAAGCCAGTAAGAATGAGACAGGAGGAGGAGAAGGAGTGGAAGTTCTGGTCAATGAGCCTTATGAGAAGGATGGGGAGAAAGGTCAATATACACACAAGATTTACCACTTGCAAAGGTAAACTGGGGGTTTCATCTTAAAAAAAAAAAAAAAATACATTTTAAAGTAATATGGCAATAACATGATAACCTGTTTTTCCCTTTTTTTAAAACAAGTTTTTGCAAATGTTTTTTAAATTTAATTGAACATAATATTTATTTATTGGGAAAATAATTCACTTTATCTCACTGAGCAGCCATGTGAGGTCTGATTTTACGGTTATCCATCGAACTGCTGCTCAACCTAACTTACCAGCTCCTAGGATTGCTCTGTGTGAAACTGCAGCATCAGGCAAGTTAGGTTAGGTAGAATCTGACCCAATATGTCTGCTAAGCCAATTAAAAAGTGAAATTTTCTCAGAAAGAAAGGTACTGAAGTGTATCCCACAGGCAGGAAAATCGGAAAAAGTGAATACCATGTCTGACATTAAGAAACAAATACACAAGGAAAACAAACTTTAATAGATCTGTTATAACATTTAAAAGATCAAATAGTTAATGAGTGACTCCTTCCAAATCTAAACTGGTGGGTATGGCCTGACAAATGGTTCGGTGCCTATATAATGAAAAACAGAAACACAGCAATACTTCTAGGATGCCAATTCAAAGTTTTTAGTCTTTTTGTTGTGGTACAGCTGCAACAATGTTGCTAGTGCAACAATATGTCTCTAGAGGTAAAACATGTAGCCCAAAAGTAACAAGACTGTACGAGGGAGGGCAAGGGGAGGACAAATGCTGAAGTATATACGCAAACTAAATAAGACAGCATACAAGATGATAACTATTCGACTGCTGTTCACTATCACGATATAATTATACCCTGTGCCTTCAAATGGAACTTAACAGTGAACCCCCTTCTAGCTAATGGTCTGACTGTGGTAAGAGCAGAGAGCAATCAAAGCTATTGATATGTAAGAAGGACAAACACATACCCTAAACCAAGTGTAATATGAAATCGTGGCTAATAACAAGATCAAACTAATAGATGAGTCCCTCCTTTCGGTTCTTGACTTGTAAGACAACTTGATCACGATTACGATTTATAATAATGCAAATAAAAATTCAAGCAGTGTCTGAGATTACCCTGCAGTTGTAAATATAGCTATATCGTTAAGATTGCTATTTAGCTAAGGATACATTTATATTTTGATTATCTGGAAAGATAGATTGGCAAGGCGTTATAGAAGGGGGAGAGAGAGAGGAGGAGGAATAATCGGGTATACAAGCAGAATGGTACAGAAAGGTAACTTATTAACTATTAAACTGCTGCTTCCTATTGAGATACCATGCTATATATAATTATCCCGTGTGCCTTCAAGGGCACTTAGCAGAAAACTGCCCCCTCTATCTATCGGTCAGAACGGAGCACACAGCAACCAAATTAAAGAAGAAACCACACTACTACAACCTAAAGTGCTACAAAAACGTGTTTAATGTGAAAAAAATAAATCAAAACTCAGTTAAAAAAAAACGCGGTCTGTTGTAAGCGGTGTCATCGTAGTCTCCTGATTTGTAGTAAATAAAATAGGATCTTGAATCACAGGATGCACATGCAGCCCCTAACGCGCGTTTTGCCCTAGCTGGTTCGTCAGAGGGGAGTTACCCTGTGGGATACACTTTTTAGTGTCTTTCAGTTTCAATTTAGTCCTTAGGGGTGACCCCCATTCAGAAGTGTTCCCCTTTATTATTGGCTCACTATTACTTTTTTCTTTGTGAAATTTTCGCAACATAATACATATACATCATTCAAAAAAATATGGCCGTGTACAACTTTATAGGGCTCTCACAGATACCTTTCAGATTTGAAATGGGACTAGACAAGGTTGCCCATTCTCCCCTCTACTTTTTGCTATGACCCTGGAACCACTTCTGAGAAACATATGGAGGAATAAGGATGTTTCTGGCTTTGAATGGCACAGACACCAACACAAGATAGCAGCGTATGCTATTGACCTACTGTTCTTTATTGCACAACCTTGAATTACACTACTCTGCCTAATGTCTGAGATTTCAAGGTATGAGGCATTGTCTGGTCTTAAACTCAATTTGACTACATACATGTAAAGTCCTCAATGTTTCAGTATCCGATCACTAATGTATCCAACTTAAGTCAAACTTTCCGTTTAATTGGTGCGACACCCAGATAAAATATTTAGGAATATACATATCTAGGGATCTTGCTGACCTTTACCAACGGAACTTCGCACCACTTCTTCAGCAAATTCGAAAGGACCCGAAACTCTGGAAATCCACAACTCTTTTGTGGCTTGGCCGTATAGCGGTAATCAAAATGAATGTACTACCCAGATTACTCTAGATATATCAGATGATACAGATGGCTTTGCCAACGACCTTCTTCTCATCACTGCGATCTTCCATTTTACAATATGTATGGGGAGTTGAGAGACCCCGGCTTGCCACGTTAATGGGGAGGCCTCGCCCTACATAACCTACGCAAGTATCACCAAGTGACAGTCCTCCAGAGGATCCTGGACTGGCATGTGGCCTTGGGTCACAGACAGTGGGTGTCTTTGGGAAAGGGTGTAGCCCACTCAGCCTTACATGAAACTTTATGGAAACCTGGTGACACCACAATGTCAGAAGTAGAGAGATACTCTCCAATGGCCCAAACTATATGGACATGGAAGCAGATACTTGTCGCCTAAGTCGAGCCCCCTCATGCCTCTGAGTCATAATCCTGTGCTGGGTGCCGGTTTACCGCGTGGGGCGTGGCCTTACCTGGGAGATGTGGCATACATCCCACTGAAAGGGGCCTTGGGGAGCTCCGGACTGTTATCCTTGGAGGTCTTCATGGAGAACATCGCCCCGCCACCACTGCAGAGGTTTTACTACTCTCCGCTACAACACTTTTATAGAAAATACCGGGCCCGCTCCTCGAGGTGCAATGAAACAGAAGGCACAGTGAAACATCTGTGGTGGGAATGTGCAGGCATAAGACCGTTCTGGGAGGAGATCAGGAGTAAGATCAAAGAAATCCTAGGGGACGATCTCCCTCTAGACATTGACAACATGCTATTGCAGTCTACACCTCTCCCAGCTGACAAATATAGGAAATCTATACTTAGACACCTCCTTAATGCTGCAAAATCCCTGATACCTGCAGTTTGGAAACAATCCACGTCTCCCTCGATGGAACAATAGATGGAGAGCCGGGGAAGAGGTCAAGGCAGCTGAATCCGTTCAGGCCTCACTCTCAAACATCAGTGATAAACACGCTAAGCGGTGGCAGCCATGGGTCCTATACCTTGCTGAGCGGTGGGGGTGGGGGAGGGAGACTCTGGCAGGGGATGCCCCAAAACCTTCATACTTTACCCACCCTATTCTTCCTTTTGCTGAGCTTACCTTGCCTCTCCTTCCTTGCTACCTTTTTTCTTTATACTTTCTTAAGAATAATTTGAACATTGTCAAAACCCGCTTTACTGCAACTACCGGCTCTCTGCAATACAAACCATAGTTGGCCTGTCTAGGAGGGGGAAGTCATGGGACAGGAAGTTTCTGCAATGACAACATTTCTGTATTCGGTATCTGGAAGCTGACAATGATGGCCGGGACATGAGAATAGGGGATGTCTCAAAAAGGAGGCTTAGTCCACTCCGACCATTACCATACTCCTAGCTCTAGGAGAGGGATGGGTAAAGGGATGAAAGGCCATCCCGATGGCTCTATACCCATACACTCACTCAGTACTGGAACTCAGTGCATCACAACCGACCCCTTACACAATGCAGATAGACTGGTCGCCTGATCTCAGTATCCCAAATACTGCCCACGTTCCTCCATAGTACACACGGCCACCTGATTCCTTATGAGATGGCGATAGACCAATTCACTGTCATCATAACGCATCTCTAGGTAGAGGACTCTGCTCCCTAGCTGGGAGCCAGGTAGTGGTTACAAAGTTACTATATCCTACTGCATGTGTACCATGCTACCCTACTACTTACATTTATGGAGTCATATGTTCAAGAATGCTAATAGAATTTGCGGATGCACTCTACCTAAGAGACTACTTTGTTTTATTTTAATATCTGGAGTTCTGCCGTATATGTGGTATTCTGTGGATTTATTTTCTCACCCATGCCTGGGTAGATTTGGGATCTAAGAGCTAGGCTGCCTCGAAGCAGCAGTGGAGGGATGTTCCTTTAGTGAGACAGGTTCTTAGGTTTTGCTGGAGCTATTGAATGTGCATTTTTAACTTATTAATTTCCTGCCTTACTTTCGGAGGGATTTGAGTGTTAGGCTGCCCTGAAGCAGCAGTGGGGGATACGCTGAAAGTTGGTTAGGCGCTATACCTGCTATTTATCGTGGGAAGGCTTAGCCTCACTAGATATAATATCCCCCTGCTGTTGATACTTTCTATTCACACTAGTGAAAGGATACTTTGTTGAAAGCACTCTCATACCACTTATGAGGAACAATGTATCTAGTCAATAAGAGTCACTATTAATCTTGTAGCACTGAAAGAAAGTAAAAAGCATATTCAAAAACTATATTCGTTTTCTACAATACTCAAGAATAAACCTGTCTTGCTCTCTATGTACATTAATTTCATGTACAGATAACCATCCACCAGGAATGAGCCCTATCAGCTATTATTGCATCATCGCTAATTTAATATTCCCTACTCTGTATATAATTTGGATCTATTGTGGGATCCTATTTAGATTGCTATATTTACTCTTGTGAGAGTCTCACAAGCACTACTAGCATATACAGTACTACCGCGGAACATATGCAGATTTTTTATTCTGATACGATACTGACAAATTATATACTTATATAAATCAAAAACCATCTCTCCACATGATTGAACTATCTATAATCTGAATGGTCCATGAGATTACTCAGGGATATGTTGGATACTGAATCATGGATATATTTATTTAATTGATAGTCAGGACAGATCTAACCAGATTTTTTTAAAGTGTGACACTTCTCACTTTATCACTTTTTTGGGTTTGTAGTGTTTTTACACATTCTTTAATTTTCTTTTTTAGTCTTTTGGATTTAATAAAGGTTTATACCATTTATATGGAATTTTTATTTTGAGGAGGTGTCCCTCGAATGAGAGCGGGTTCCACCCACTATTTGTGAGTGGTTATCCCAATCCATTTATTCTGTTAAATATATATAATACAGTTAATGAAGGCTTGCACTCGCGGTCTTTTCTCTATAAAAGTATCCTTTATTTCATTCCTTTTTAAAATATGATCAACGTTTCAGCCATCTTCTGTGGCTTTCATCAGGATCAACACAACACATTTACATATATTATCTAACACACTTATATAGCTATACAAACTTATTAATTAATCATAAAAACACTCACCACCTGTACTGCTATTTCCTCGGCGTCTCTCAATTACTTCGGCGCATGTGTGAACATGCCGCTACCTGGAAGTAGCGTATTGACGTCACCTTTGGTTACCGGGCTTACCCGACTCTACTCCGGGCTCCCCGGCAACTGGGTAAACCAAGGAATAAAAAGGAATGAAATAAAGGAAACTTTTATGGAGAAAAGACCGTGAGTGCAAGCCTTCATTAACTGTATTGTAATTGTTGGCAATGGCTGGAATGCACCTGGCATTTTGAAGAGGATAAAACCTTTAAGTGTGTGTGCAAGGAGCAAAAGGGAATATATATATATATATATTCATTGTGATTAATTCTCAAAATGCTAGAAGGTGACTGCTTAATACTGTCTGGTTGTCAGTTATTTGTAATCGCACCTTTGGTTATTTCAACTATATACGTGCATTAATTTGCTGAAGTTAGTGTGATGATCGTACTGTACAGTAAACATCTGAAAAGATATATGCAGGTCTACATTGGAATTACAATATTCAGTGACTCTTCCTTTAACAGGAAATATCTTATTTATAAATAGCTGGGTTCTTGTGAAATGCCTATGTTTAAGAAACATGACATTCCATGCTGCGAACCCTACTAATAATAAATGAGTAAGACATTCAGTGTTCTAGGAAGGGCAACTGAGTACCAGATCATAATGACAACAGAGAGCATAGGTCTTTAAAAGTTTTTAAAGGATCAGGGTATGATGATTGGCATTGGTCGTTCTAGGTTGAATAAGACAATCCACAGATATGAAAGTTTGTATGTGATTGAAAAACTAATCAAAGCAAGGGTTTTTTGGAATTAAAAAGTAACAGGGATGATATGTTGGTTTATAAATCTGTTGTATTCAGCAGATAACTATTAGAGAGAGCTATTTTTAGGAAATCACAAAATATAAAGCTGTTCCAAAAGTAAAAAACAAGAAAAAAACAACCCATACTGATATATATATAGTCTTAATACTATATTTTTTTTTAAGTTGTTTGGTAACTGGGCAAACTGGATTGGACTTGGTGTGTGTAAGAATGTCTGTCTGTGCTATATTATAATTGGCAGCTGTCAGTGTCTACCATGCATGTATACCCAGTACAATCACTGCAGCATGATGTCCTGGTAGCCGTAGTCATTTTAACGCTCTTGCAATATTTACTCTTTGTTCAGCAAAGTACCCACATTTGTCAGAATGCTGGCCCCAGAAGGTGCCCTGAATATGCACGAGAAAGCATGGAATGCCTATCCCTACTGCCGGACCAGTGAGTATGAGTCTGTATGGCTGGAAGGAGATGAATAGGCGTTTTGTGTCGCACAGTATGAGCAATGTGCACTTTAACACAGCCTCTTACATACTGGCAGTTGAACTAGGAAGCATTTGTTACTATAAGACGGCTGGCTGCTCTAGTTGTGACTTTGTTATCTAATATGCAGGTGCCTCTCTCTTGTACTGCTCAGTGGGATGAATAATTCAGGTCATTTTGACAGGCATCTTGTTACCTGTGTTTGAAAGAGTCTACAGGGCTAAAAACAGGCAGACTTGGCACCTGCATGCTCTATTTGTCTCTCCCTTGTGATATCCTTCCATGTTCGTTTCCCTTGACCGGCCATAGGAGATACAGCTTTAGGGTACTGTCTCTATATATGTGAATTTAAACACTCTGATAACAGAATTATAGAACCCGTTAGGATAGCCTTATAGCTTTGGTGAAACATTAACTCCCATAATGCTTTTCAAACCTTTAGGAGTTGCAGTAACTCCACAGCTGTAGGGCTGTTTTACTATCCCTGTTTAAGAGATTGTCTTGCATGACTGTTAAGTATTATGTTTATAGAGTTTAGCAGCCAAAAAGGAAATGTTAATGAAGGAAACCTAAGTTCGGGGGATAAGGTTTTTACAAGTTCTTGTTTGTGGTTTTAACCTACTAACATTTTGTCTCTTTCTTTCTTTCATGTAACGTGAAAAAGTAATTACAGTAAGTATGTCTTTATTACAATATAGATAAAAACTGCATTAATCTAAAGCTGGACAAACTCTAGCAGGCCTGGGTGTCGGGGAAAATGTTAATGCTGGCTAGTAATATATTTATTTAGTGCGCATCTATGAGTGACTCTCTCCTCTGACTCCTAGAATACTTGCTGCTACATATTTGCAAAATATTTTATTGAGGCTTACAAGAGCATCCAAAGGTACATAACTTTATGTGACATTGTGTTTGATCATACTTACATTGTTTAAGCTGTGGAGGTATTTTATCAAACTTTAAAGGACCACTATAGGCACCCAGACCACTTCAGCTCAATGAAGTGGTCTGGGTGCCAGGTCCATCTAGGGTTAACCCTGCAGCTGTAAACATAGCAGTTTCAGAGAAACTGCTATGTTTGCATTAGGGTTAATCCAGCCTCTAGTGGCTGTCTCATTGACAGCCGCTAGAGGCGCTTCCGCGCTTCTCACTGATTTTCACAGTGAGAATACGCCAGCGTCCATAGGAAAGCATTGCAAATACTTTCCTATAGACTGATTGAATGTGCGCGCATGCGCATTTGTCGGAAGAGGGAGGAGGGTCCCCGGCGCTGGAGGAAGGTAAGCCTTTAACCCCTTCCTACCCCTAGAGCCCGGTGGGGGGGACCTATTGACACTATAGTGCCAGGAAAACAAGTTTGTTTTCCTGGCACTATAGTGGTCCTTTAACCTAAAATATAGTTATGTCTAGCACCCACCACTGCTAAATATATAACTAAAGTAGCTGAAACGCATTCTTATTTGTTAATCGCCAACATGCAATACTTCACTGCACGTTGTCACAAGGGAGTTTTCACACACTTCTGACACTCAAAGGAATTGTGATTAAAAGACAAACAAACATTTGCAATACATTGTTCCATTCCCACCATTAGAATGTTTTTATTCTTTTTAGCACTTATAATATATCTATATCTAAATACTAATTCTAATTTGGTGTAAGGATTCTATTAATTTTCCTTCTATTCCTTATAAAATGTACAGTGTGAATACTCGTAGTAAATTTTTTGCATTATATTAAAAACAAATAGTCTATATAATTATACTGTTTTTTGTAATAATCAAGGTGACATTTGGTAAGCCTCAGCACCTACACCTTTGAAACAATATGAATTCTTTAATCAACAATTAACAAGTACCATATATACTCGAGTATAAGTCCCGTCAGCCTGGGCATCTGAGAACCGGCCAGAGTCCCCCAACCGACAAAGGGGGAAATCCTCACGTCGGCCTGGAACTCTGCCTGGGCATCGGAGAACCGGCCAGAGTCCCCTGACTGACGTTCGAAATTTCCGCAAATTTTACCCCCAAAAAAACTGGGAAAACTTATTGACTCAAGTATAAGACTAGAGTAGGAAATGCAGAAGCTACTGGTACATTTCTAAACAAAATTATATCCCAGAAAAAATATATTAATTGAATATTTATTTACAGTGTGTTTGTATGAATGCGGTGTGTGTGTGTGATGCAGAGCCTTGGTGGGGGTGGTGGGCATTTTTATTATTTTTAAAAAATTATTATTATTATTTTAATTTTATTCTTTTTTGTTATATTATTTTAATTTTATTATTATTTTGTAATATTATTTTAATTTTATTATTATTAAATTTTTTATTTATTTTTATTCGTCCCCCCTCCCTGCTTGATACATGGCCAGGGAGGGGGACTCTCATTCCCTGGTGGTCCAGTGGATGGGCTGTGCAGGAGGGGGCGCTGGCAGCAAGCTGTAACTTACCTTTCCTGCAGCTCCCTTCTCCTCCGGTCCGGTCAGCTCCCCTGTCAGCTCCACTGCAAGTCTCGCGGTGTGAGTGCCGCGTGTAGCGGTAACCCCTGGCAACGCTCTGACCGCGCGGTTCTTGCGAGACTTACAGGGGAGCTGACTGGACCGGAGGAGAAGGGAGCTGACAGGAGCTGCAGGAAAGGTAAATTACAGCTCTCCGCCAGCCCCAACAGGACCACCGGGCTTGTAATGAGCCTGGCGGTCCTGGTCTGTATTATGGCAATGTAAGTCTTATACTCAAGTATATACGGTAGCTGTTAAAATAAAGATTGTTTAACCCCTTAAGGACAGATAACATGTGTGACATGTCATGATTCCCTTTTATTCCAGAAGTTTGGTCCTTAAGGGGTTAAACATTTATTGTTTATATCTGCCAGTAGCCAGGAGATGTGTCCCTAGTGGATGTTTTGTTGCTAGCTATCTGGAAAATGTGCTGATTATTAATAGAGATTAGGTAGTACAGGCCAAATGATCACATGAATTGATGGCTGCATTGTTAGGAATATTTCACACGTTCCTCTGATCTTCTACTAAACACATCCAAATGTGAAATGAGATTTTTAGCATCCTTAGGAAGAACAATATACAATCCTGGAAAAGGGGCACTCCAGACACCAAGACATGTACAATGTGTCAGGTTAGAGTTAATTATATTTTGAGGTTTTTTTGTTTGGGTTTTTTTCCCTCCAAAGATACTGCTGTACATGATGATATGAGTTTTAGTTACAGAGACAAAGTGACACTATGTTCACCAGCACAACTACAGAAGTTCTGGTGAGTATAGTAGGCACTGCAGGCATTTTTCATGTAAACCCACGACCACTAGGGAGGTCAAAAGATGTCTTTGTGTGGCTCACTATAGCAAAGGATTGTGTGGTCTATACCTATGATGGGTGCAGATCTGTCAGCTTTTTTTAGCCATGTGCTCAGTCACTCAGTGGATGACTCTGAGCACTGACATTGTTACTGTGGCAACACTCCAATGCATTCATTTAACACGAGACTGGTAAGGTGCAACCACAGTGATCTTCATCCTGTCCTCTATCAGCTTCTCCACACTCTGCATGGAGACCCTGAACATTCATCATAGAGATGCATTGATTCAATGCTGACTGGCTAGGGTGGCATTTGGCTCCCATGTGAAAGCATTGTGATTGGCTGAGAACATCAATTCTGATGTCAGCCAAGTAGGCGCAACAAGAGCAGAGCCAGTCCTGCGGACCTGTAAGTCGCTGGAAATAAGGTGAGTCTTTATTATATTTAGGGGGTTGGGGGGGAGGAGAGATCAGCAGGGCTGTTTAGATTGTGTATTTAACTCTATAGGTTCAGGAATACATGTTTGTGTTCCTGACCCTAGTGTTCCTTTAAGTTTAACTTTTTCATCCCTATTAAATCTTTAACCTAAGTGCTATAATATATATATATATATATATATATATTAAAAAAAAAAAAAGTGTATCAATGTATATACAGACACATGTGTGTGTTTGTTTTGGACTCTGACATCCAGCAATCCCATGGGGTACATGCCCAAGCTACCGTATCACAGAGGGCATACAATGGTTGTTGGTAAGACAATTAGACGATGTATAAGTGATAGGAGTGTAAAGTGTACATCCACTGTTATAAAGGGTTTAGGATGCAGGGCATCTGAATTCTTTTTAAAGCGGATGTAGGTGTGCATTTTTATAAAGTGTTCTTGGTGCTTTATTATTGAGAAGGGACATAATTAAAGATCTACTAGGTACAGAAGGTATGCATCCATTTTTAGTCACTGCCTGGAGTCACAATAGAAGTGAAGCTGTGTATATATTTGATATGTATAAAATCATTTGTGCATATACAATTGTGTCAAATTAGGAATGGATGCCAATTATACATGCTTGCTTTTTACTTCTATTTCAGAATGAATACATGAAGGATGATTTCTTGATTAAGATAGAAACGTGGCACAAACCTGATTTGGGAACACAAGATAATGTAAGTGGTGCACAAAAATAAACAAGACAAATCTACAACAAAAATGTAATTATTCTCTCGTGCATAGGAAAACCGTCTGTTATTCACTAAACTGCAGTGAATTGAAAATCAATTTCAAATTTTTTTAGGTAAAAATAGCTGAATTGGAAGAATTTGCCAAATTAGACAAGCGGATAGACAACATGCTCACAGAGAAGGACAAGCCCTCTGGTCCCAAGTTCGAAACCACATACATCCACAGTACAAAGGGGACACATAATAAAATACAAGTTCGAAACCACAATACAGAGGGGACACATAATAAAATACAAGATGAATTGTTGACTTTTTTATTTTTGACAAAGGTTTAAAAATATCAGGAAGTATTACTTTACTGAGAGGGTAGTGGATGCATGGAATAGCCTTCCAGCTGAAGTGGTAGAGGTTAACACAGTAAAGGAGTTTGAGCATGCGTGGGATAGGCATAAGGCTATCCTAACTATAAGATAAGACTAGGGACTAATGAAAGTATTTAGAAAATTGGGCAGACTAGATGGGCCGAATGGTTCTTATCTGCCGTCACATTCTATGTTTCTATGTCTATGTTTCTATCTCTAAAGTCACAGCTTGGCTATTTCTTCCTAAATTTTGCCATTTTGGCTTCAATTTGGTGTTTGTAAATACAGCTCTCTGTAATAAGTAAAGGGAGATCTGAATACAAAAATCCATGAAGATGGTTTTCAATAATCTTTGTTTTTTGCTGTTAAGTTTTAGGTGTATCCTGGGTGTTCACTCTTTCGCTAATTTCATATGGTTAGAGTAACGAGTTTTCATTAGATGTATCGGGTTTCCCCATATTAAAGTACAGACACTACTCACTTACCGACCTGGTCGTAGAATGAATTGGTCAGTAAGTGAGGAGTTAAGGGATTCCCTGCTCTGGTGCGTTCGTCTATGTTCAGGGAAACTTCCCCGAACATAGATGAACGCACCAGAGCAGGGAACCCCTCTAATCTGTTAGGAGAAATTTTCCCGAACATAGACATGCGCACCAGATCAGGGAATCTCCACGATGGCTCGCACTTACGCCTGGTTGTAAGTGCGAGCCGTCGTAAAACAGGTCACTAAATGAGGACCACCTGTATTACAATACAAGTTTTCTAGAACAAATTATTAGAGGTGTCTGTTTTTCATTATCATATCTTGGTTGAGCTCTAATCACATCACGTGTTGTAGAATATTTCCCACGTTTATTCTTATAAGATCAGGGTTGTTTGCTTGTTGCTTAATAAAATAAAATTTCCCAGAAAGAAAAAAATATATAGTATACCGTGCTGCTAGTGCTTCCGGAGAAGAGCATTCCTATATACTCAGATGAGAGTCCAATTAACAGTCCGTGTTGCTGTCCCTGGTTTTATCCTTGGCAAGGCTACACATAGGAGGAGGCTTGCATTCACACAGCTATATTTTACAAATAACAGGAATGTAAAACATGGTCGCATACAAGACTTGTGTGACCCCACTAGCCTCCTTATTACCCCGTTTAGAAAACTTGGCTTAAGGGAACTGTGCTTTTTCAGGATTTTTTATTGTGTGTACTTATCCATAGCAAATATATTGTTTATGTCTAATAAATATAATTAAAGGACCATATTCAATATAGCTTGCTGTAATTGTTACATGTTTAGTAGTCACCATTACATGTTAAGTAGTCAGTCAGTTTTAGTACCATATGACAACTTACCTAGGTCCCACCAGCTGAGCACAGCCTTGGATTGGCAATGCTTTATTCTATGGAGCCATCCAGCTTTTTCTTCAGGTAAAGACCAGATGCACTGTGGGTGCCTTAGGGGACCCAGGAAAGCTGTTAAACTGCACTAAAGTGGTTTGACGGCTTACCATGGGATGGCGCCAGGCACTCCTTGTACGCTGTAGTGGCTATAATTCTTGTAGTGTTCCTTTAAATGTAGAAATCCACACTTCTCTAACCTGCAACTTGGCTCTTGCATGTTGGATCCATGTCAGTCATCGTTAAAAACGTAGACATCTGATAAATATAATTAAGTAGTTCTCTTTACTCCTTGATTCATTCCTTTCTCGGCATAGTGCAATGTCCAATACAGACGTCTTGGAGTTCTCCTTCAGTATTTGGCCAGACAAGTTTAGAGCTTGTTTCCCCCACCCCATTATTTATTACTTTATTGAACAGTTACAAACACAAACGTAGGTACCAGAATCCAGTGTGCAGTACTTATGATAAATGACAGCATGATTTTATTTTAATTTCAGTTGATTGTTGTTTTTTTATAAGCTGATTGCCTGTGTTGAAGGAACTGAAATGAACCTTTGTGTGGATTCATATTTGTTAATGACTGACCATTGTCTGAACAGCCATCATAAATGGATCCGATTTGATCTCTTTGTAGGTACACAAGTTAGAACCAGATGTCTGGAAGAACGTAGAAGTGGTTAATATTGATATTGCAGATCGAAGTCAAATTATGTCAAAGGTTTGTATGAACAGTCACAACTGCCCTTTTGAAGATTTAATCATTTTTTTAAATCATTTCTGCTGCACTATGCTTATAGTGCCTGTAGTCCCTGGGAGCTGGTAATCTGTCAAACATTACAAAAGAGTTGGCCCAATATAGCTCAGGTTCATACTTCTGCATTATAGTACCAACTTATACCAGGTTTAGACAGCATTCATTGGTTGGGAAAGTCACCTGACGGCAGTTGGACCTGAGTTGGCATGATAATAAGGAAATATTAACATACCCTTGTACCAGAAGGACCACAGGTGTCTGACACAGCAGGTTTGATAGGTTGTCAGTGGGGCTCCTGACACTCTTTACCGGTTGTTAAACCTAAATCATTGAAAAAGAGATACTACAAACTAATAAATAGAATATTGATGGATAATCATTTCTTGGTACAAAAATGCAAGCAGAATTCTAAAATACATTCCCCCATATAAACACAGACATGAACTCTTGGAAATTTGCATAAGCCTACTCACCTTATGCCCCAGAGATCGTGACTGTTTATCAACCCCTTTAGTCTGCATGCAGCCTGTTTGATTGAAATGTAAGTAGAGAGTAGGTTAATTGCTAGATATTGCTAGTGACAGATTTTCTGTGTGTGTGCTTTATATAAATGCACAAGAGCACTTTTTGCAAGCCTATTCACTCCTTAAGCATATTTCTGCAAAAGCCATTCAAATGTAAAACCTATTGTAAATTTATGTATTTCTGTAAATCTACAGGATTATAAACCAGACGAAGACCCATCAAGATTTAAATCTGTCAAAACAGGCCGTGGCCCACTGACACCTGACTGGAAGGTAATTAATTAAATTTACATGATATTTAACCATAGCAGAATATTGTTTTATTTTATTTTTCTTTACCATAGGGTGCTGAGTTTTCCTGCTAATAAAATTAAAATAGCAAAGTTTTTTTGTTGGGGTGTTTGTTTTTCGTTGCAGAGGTTTATATTTGGGAAAACCTAATTAATCCTTCTTTGTGTGCAACGCTTCTTCTAGAAAACAGTGGCGCAGCAGAAGGACTGTCCACACATGTGTGCTTATAAACTAGTGACTGTCAAGTTTAAATGGTGGGGCCTGCAGAACAAAGTGGAGAACTTCATACAAAAGGTAAGCATACGCAGCAGAGGGAACTAAGCTATATTCAACACCTCCTCCCCACTGTGATTGGTTGAAAAAGGCAGAATGCTGGACAATGAGTAACTAATAAACAAAATTCAAAACCAAATCACTTACTATCAATTTAGCTGCTTTAGTCGGGTTATTTATCCTCTATACCAGCTGTCCCCTTTTGCAGTGCTACTACAGTCCTCCCTTTTTGTACCAATTTCTTAAAAACGTTTTACACTCCCTATCTCACCTATTTTGCTTGAACTCCTTTACACCCCTCCCTTTTTCTCCACTTTTTCAATCCTTGCCTTATAACCCTACCTGTCTGTAGCTTGCTTTACATAATATGTTGGTGTCTTACAAATGACAGCAAATTTTTCTCATAAAAGTTTTTAGTATTTTACATAATTTGACTTTATTTTTTTTATTTTATTTTTTACTGAAGTTTTACTGCAGTGCCATCAGCATATGTAAGCGTACTACAAGTTTCCCAAATCCCCCAAGACTGTGCCTCGTTGGTTAAGTAGTGGAGGATATGTTTTACAGTTTCCTTAAAAGGAAAACCAGACAAAAGAATACATACTGGAACTTGTATTATCACATTAGGCCCCCTTGATCACACAAGATCTATCAAGGATGGAAAGCAGCGATATTATGACACGATATTTAGCATTTTATTGTTATTTGCCAAATGTTACATAGCAGTCACTATGATGTCACAGTGAGCAAAATATCTTGTAGCAGTCAGAGCTGACCGAATGTCACTGTGAAGTCACGGACTGTATTTTGCAGAGAACAAAAAGAGAAAAGTAATGTTTTGATTTCTATATATTGATTTTTAACCACTTGAGGACCACATGATGATCTATGCCGTCATGCAGTGCAGGGATTAAATGTCCTGTGATGGCATAGACCATCATAAAGTAAAAGTACCAGCAGGGGTTGGCACCAGGGAACCTCGGGTATCTTTTAATACCTGGGGGTCCCCTCTATCAGCTCAGGCCAGAATTAGTGGCTCAAAACTGACCTCTCCTCTATTTGCAGAGCTCAAAGTAAACGGTGCAATCACGGATTTAAATCCCTATTGTTACAATGCAGTGTGAGCAGGGATATAACTTTGCTCACACCGCATTTTAACAATGGGGTTTTAAATTAAGATACCTGGGGCTCCCCTATGTCAGCCAGCTGACATTTAAGTGGCCCCAAGCTGACAGATGAGCTGCATGCAGAGCTCAAAGTGATATTGACATGCAGCTCCTCAATGGGGATTTAACCCCTTAAGGCCTTTTATTGTGGCCAGCCTAAGGCACACCTGTGCAATAATCATACTGTCTAATCAGCATCTTGATATGCCACACCTGTGAGGTGGATGGATTATCTCGGCAAAGGAGAAGTGCTCACTAACACAGATTTAGACAGATTTGTGAACAATATTTGAGAAGAATATGCCTTTTGTGTAGTTTTAGATCTTGAAAAATGGGGGCAAAAACAAAAGTGTTGCATTTATAATTTTGTTCAGTGTATATTCAATGTAAAAGATATAAAGCTGTCATACTGAAAATAGCCAGTAGATGGCAGCAACATTCTATTGTTTTATCTTAAAATCCCCTTTGCTTATATATCCGTACTGATGTTGGCAGAGGAAAACTTTTGGGATTAGGATTAAATTGAGGATTAATATTCTGGATTAAGATTAGGTTTAGAATAAATATTAGGTTTATATTAAAGGTGGGTTTAATTTTAGGATTGAGGTTAGGTTTCAGATTAGTGTTTGAATTAGGGCCAGCAAGGGATTTCCTTTACTGAACTAACACTATTTATATGGTTAGGATTAAAGATAAAATTAGGGTTAAGCATAGAGTTAGGGTATAAGTGAATATTAAGGTTAGGCTTATTATTAGATTTAGACATTATTAGATTAGTCATACCCTGTAGTGTCTACATTCACAAATGGTATGCATTTATGAGGTGATTTAACCTGTGAAACTGCTACCATGCCCCAATTTGCAGAATAGCCCTTCAATTCATCAATGAAAATTCTTATTGTAAAAATTGAAATTGTCAGGTCTTTTATATGACACTGTAAGTTTGCATATTGATAGTCATACATTGGGGTGTTGATTTGTTCAGAAGCGTTTGCTGCAGATAACTTTGGGGGGGTTGATCACAGTGACACATATCAAGCTTGACAAAGACCTCTTGTTAGGTCGAAACGTTGCTGTGACTTTTGTTGCAATAAATCTGCCTGCAGCTTCACATTTGTACTGCCTGTGAATTTTTCTTATTGCCTTATCGTGTTGGAAATGCTGGTCCTGCTCCAGAGCACCCGTGGCCGTTGGGAGTAAGTGCAGTTCCTGCGACCAACTTTTCCAAAATAAGACCTAGGCCAATCAAATCCATACATAAAAAAATTGAACTGTAAAAACTGAAATACTTAGGTCTCTTATATGGTGCTGCAGTTTCACAGGATAAACTGAAATCCTAGACATGCGATGTCTTCTGTAAATCAGGACAAATAAATTAATTTATTTTGAATTACTTTTTTTTAAGCTCAAACTCAAAGGCTAGCAAGGCCCAAATAAACAAGGTTTAAGTTTATGTGGGCCGCAAAAAAAACAAACATAAATTTTCACCCCCTCTACTAAACTCCAGCCCCCCCCCTCGTCTGCTGTATCCCAGTCCCCGCCTCGTCTACTAAACCCCTGCCCCTGTTTAAAAAAAAAAAAAAAAGCAGTGTCCAGAGTCCGGCCTCTGGCATACCCCCAATGTCCCCATCCACACCTTAAAAAAAGCTGATCCTCCCGTTACTCCTTGAAACCCTCACACACACACACTCACTGACAGACATACACACACACTGACAGACACACAGACTCCCTGACAGACAGACAGACACACACACACAGCTATACACACAGACAGCCATACACACAGACTGGGCTGGTTTCTTACCTGGGGTCTAGTGGGGCTCCTGATCAGGCATGGGGACGGACAGGCAGTGAGGGAGCGCTGAGTGTAAGCTCTCCCTGCTCAGCTCACTCGCGCACCACAGTGATGCCGGGAGCCGGAGTGACATCATATTCCGGCTGAGCAGGAAGATCTTACACTCAGCACTCCCTCGCCGCAGCCCACGGGCCTCATAAATATTAGTTGTGGGCTGCGAGTTTGACATGGCTGAGCTACACTATGCACACATTATTATTGACATTTCAATATTTTGATATCGGACCACAATCGCAGGACAATAGGAAAAGGGAAGTACACTGATAAAGTCTAGATGCCAAGCATAAAGAGGAGAATGTAAAAATGATATGATGTGAAAATAAGAGGGTAAAGGAGAGAGCAAGGAGAGGAATGGGACATCAGAGGAAGCAAATAGTTATTGGGTTTTAGTTTTTATATTCTGCGTATATTATGTGAAACATAAATATGTATAGACTAAACCAGTTCTAATATAACTATAAGGGACACTACTGCCCCCCAAAAAACACTATTTACGAGATACAGCCCCAAAATAAACTATGCATGCATTTTCATTAAGGCTATATCTAAAAATAGCTGCAGATCTCTTGTCTGCAGCTTTTTCAAGCCATTGCCTTCTTACACCGCTCAGACTTTCTTTGCCCAGTCAGAGCATTTCCAAATGCAGCTAATTGCAAAGTTTTCACATGAGGTGCTCTGGACAATTGCTGCCTCCTGAGTTTAGCTCCACTGAGTTAAACAACCAGAAAGTAACAGGACCTGTTGTCTGACAGTGTAACGTGGTTAATTTGTAAAAACCACAATTTCTATTGAAATGAAATGAGTTCCTTTAAGAAAATATCCTGACTGGTTTAATCAATTTTGCAAAGCTGTCCTAGGTGCTACAGTACGCCTCCTGCACAATATCCCATTATACTCCTTAGTAATTTAAAGCCGATCCCCCACCAATAAAGTTTATTACTAATATGTCAGGGTTTCCTTAATACTTTCCAAACTGATCTTTAAAAAGCCAAAATATCATATAAAACTACAAGGGATACAGCTTAACTTTAAAATAAACATACATAATATAGTGTAATTTCACATTTACCGTTTTATATATTAAAATGTGCAGAATTGCCCTCACACGATAAGATATGTAGTCTGTTCCATGCTGCCTTCTCCAACATCCTGGGGTCTAAGTTCTCCCAATAGTCTGTGAACACCTCTTTTTCAGTTACTCCAAAAGAAATTTACCAAGATTCAGCAGTTTGATTGAAGTCATTAATTTCCAAATCACAAAGATGCTATTAAAAATTACCAGGCCCAAAGCTTTCCTTCCTGTCCCTGAAGAAGTCTTGTAAACAGGAAGAAACACATTGGACTTGGTTGCTTCTACTAGCACCTTTTGTGATGCAATAAATGTAGTGTGATGCAATAATATATAAATTGCATATTTAGAAACATGTAATATAAAAGCCATGAGACTAAAGATTGAATGGTTTCTGATCTCTCCAGAACACCTGGGTGGCATTGCTTTTCCATAATACACGATTTGCCATTAGGTATAATTTATATATATTTGTCTCCATCCTCTTCCAAGTGTTTTTATGTATTTATATGGACCTCAGGTTGTCAGTTTGGCAGATGTTTACTGATCATTCTATTGTTTTTAGCAAGAGAGGCGGCTGTTTACAAACTTCCATCGGCAGCTTTTCTGTTGGTTGGACCGATGGGTGGAACTAACAATGGAAGATATTCGCAGAATGGAGGATGAGACCAAGAAAGAGCTTGATGAGGTCAGTTTAGTTCCTTTACTTAGTGGTATGTTAATAATCTTACTGGTTGCAGTTTACCTGGAAATACAAAATCGAGTGCTAAGCAGGACAGTAAAGGTAGAGTTAAAAGGTACAGCGTGAATAACTGGGCTAAATATCATTTCATGCATTTAAACAGAATTTAAACCCTAACTGTAACACACGTTAGTGTATTTTGGTTACCCCTGAGACATTAAAATGGTTAAAAAAAAGACTTTCTTAAATGTAAAATGTTATATTAGTTCTACTGTGATATTTGTATGTTAAAAAGAAGTCTAATACCATCTTGGATGCAAAATGCAATTTAAAAGTAGTTTTCCAGGAGGCATCAATTTCCAGGAGGACTACTTTCTTGTGTATTATTCCTACACTTGACAAAAAGGCAGAGCTACTGCTGTCAAGCTTTGTCAAGCCCCCAGTCATCCATAGTGATGGCTGAGGCGAAAAAGGCTTTGTCTATGGAGACTCCCACAGTCTTGAGGGAGCCTGCAGAGAAATTAGTGTTGTGCGCAAGAGTACAGCACCGACAACAGCTGCTAACAGATGTAGAACGAGGAACTGAAGAGGAACCCACAGAAGAAGATGGCGAAGTGACACTCTCCTTTCCTTTCACCCAGCGACCGAGCCGCTTTAACAACGTATTCACCAACTTTTATTCCTCTGTACAATAGGTCTGTAACAAAATAGCTACGCCTCTTGTTTGAAATTTGTTGATATGATGATACAAATAAAATTTCGGATTGTATTCGCTTTTAATCCTTTTGGAATTATGCAATTGGGTAACTCATATTTTTTTATCCACTTGTAGATGAGAGAGAAGGACCCAGTAAAAGGAATGACTGCAGAGGATTAGCAGCAAAGTGTTCTGCTCTGTAAGTATAGTTCACTTCTATTCTGGAATAGTTTACCCATAAACTGGGTAATATGTTGAGCATTTGGCACCTGGGGCGGATCTACCCCAACTTTTAAAATGTAAGAAAAACACTCCATGATACCCATCCTAAGTTCTGTGTGCTTGTTTGTCCTCCCCAGCCCTTCTTTGTGCCTGTTTGTCCTCCCCAGCCCTTCTTTGTGCCTGTTTGTCCTCCCCAGCCCTTCTTTGTGCCTGTTTGTCCTCCCAGCCCTTCTGTGTGCCTGTTTGTCCTCCCCAGCCCTTCTGTGTGCCTGTTTGTCCTCCCCAGCCCTTCTGTGTGCCTGTTTGTCCTCCCCAGCACCTGTGTGCATCTGTTTCTCTCCCAACACCTTTGTGTGCCCCCTCTCCCCCCCTTTGTACACCACTGCCCATAAATAAGGTTAACCCCAATGTTTTAGTTTTCATAGAAATATTACCAAACTCGTTAAACTTAAAGGGTCATTCCATATAATTATTTTTCTTAATTAGGTTTGCACACAGCTCTGTACCACATCTATCTTCCAATGTTTCCTTTTTCCAAAAGTACTCCTGTACAGTTTTTTTTTTTTTTTATAAAAAAAAAGCTAAGCATTTAATTCTGTCCATCTGTTTTGTAATGTTTGAATAGCAAGTGTTTAATATCATTTACTACAGTCCAGGCACAGCCAGGGCACAAATTACAAATATAAAAAAGATCTAGAAAAACTGTCTGCTTCCTCTTTGCTGATTTCCGCAAACAGATATATATATTTGATATCTCCAAATTTTTTATTGGAAAAACTTGTTTGTCAACTTTGAATTGATTAATGTCTACTTTAATTATTTCTTTTCTTTCCAGTTTTGATGTTAAGTGACCAACAGGATGCCTTTGTGCTCCAGTCCCGGCGGATAGCTCACTTGTGGATCAAGCCCACTCCTTGTTTTTGCAGACTATTTTAACCCCATTGTAGTAAATTTTAGGACCTTTATTAATGTGAGCTAATATTCCTGTTTCAAGCAAGCACTCAAATCTGACCAACTGAGTGAGGAAGGAGCTCACTCTTCTAGTGCATTGTGTATATATTGTATTAACAAAGCCCTCTACTCCTATATTTTCATTATATTAAGAGTTTGCCTCCAAACTTCTAATTCATTTAATTTAAATGTCACTTTTAGGAACAACCGTGTCTTGTGAATTTTGTGAATTGTAAATTGTTTGTTTTTCCTTAAAATGTGGATGAACTAATTTCAGCTATTTTATTTTTGGGATAGTCGGGTATTAAGATAAAGTATATTTTACAACCAATCTTTTCCATTACCTCTTTATTGCCTAGGGTACTAATAAATCCCTTGGCCGTGTTACTCTCAAAACAGCCAGATGTCTACTTTCTATTTTGTGCATTTGCCACTTATTGGACTGTATAAGGGTATTCTAACTGAGGGGTAAAGAACCTTTTGTTATCACAATCTATTGTGCCCTTTTTAAAAGATGGTCAGTGGTAAATAATCATCAATATGTAATAATCTAAAAAATAGTCTTCTGTAAAATACAAGGTTTTAAACAAGCACACTGTAACCAGCACTTGTGCAATAATGCTGAATTTCTACTTATAAAGTGTGGGTCTATACAGCTCTTAGCCCTGCGTGATATCTTTTTGTATTTATTTAAACTGTGGCTCCTAAATATGGCCTAAAAGTAGGCATCTCAAGACCAGTTTGAGTACACATTATTAAATCTTCAATATTCATTTGCTTTCAAATGGTACAAGAAAATTATTTTGGTAATAAAATCGAAACGCATATATATATTTATGAAGAGGCATAAAAATACACAATATATGGTAATACTATTTCATATGATAATATATTTGTAAGTGACCTGAACAGGGATGTAAATCAGATAAGATGGATTTCAGAGCATTACCAAGATTATGATACGCCATGGTTACTGGTTTGTTCCTCTCCATTTTTTAGGAATCATTTTACCCCAGTTATAACAGGATATATTTTTGGAAGTATGCCCAAAACAACTGCTCTATGTTCAAGATATGTTTTATGTAATAAAGGCAGGTAGTCTGTTCTTTCCTGCCAGGAGCTTTCAAACATGGACCAAATTATGCCAGGTCAACCTAATGTGTGCTTTGTGGATCAATATTTGTGATATCCTTATGGTATATATACCATATATGTGAAGGTAGAGAGTGATTGGCTAACAAAACACGGCACCCTGAATTATTTTATATAATTGTTTTGTTTTAATCTCTTGGTTTTCACTTTCATTACTGGAGATCCAATGCACATGGGTTTTTCATAATGATGGAAAAATTGTTTAATGATGCTTGGTGATACGTTAGACATTTGCAGGACTTTGTCGAGGAAAACAAAACTGTTGGGAGACCATGCTTGTATGAAAAAAATCAAATTCCTTGAATAGAAAAGATTATATATGTTTTAAATAGTATGTATTTATGGTTTTTAATGTTTGGCTGGTAAAATGATTTTCTTACCGAATCTGACCTAAATGTGCACAAAGCCTAGTTTGACTAATACATGCTTGTTATACAATATCCATGGGAGATCTGTGCATCCACCTATCTCCAGCATGTTGAAGTAGATTGGAACACTGTTCTCAAACCATTCCTTCCATGTAACTAATGGCTTGTAAAGGTCAGTAAGTGTATCTAGTCGATGGTGTAAGTGTGGGTATAGCTCTTTACTGGCTACTGAGCTCAAAACCTTTTATGTTGTCAATATGAACCCTGAGACCGCTCTGCTTATACATGCACTGGATAATCATTTATCATTGATCATGGGGTAACATGTCAGTATGGAATTTTAAAGATGAAAATCTGTCTCTTATTTATAACATGTGGCATTTGTTGAACATTTTTTTATAATACGTGCTACAACATCACAAACAATACTGTATTAATATAAGAGAAATGTTCTAGATTTTGTGTTTTTGCTCTGTTTCCAGAAGTTCTAAACAACTTAATGTGTGAATATAGGCTGCTTTTTTACCTCTTGGGTGTAAATGAATTTAATCCATTTTATGCCAACACTCTGCTAAACAGGTCCATACCTATTCTATGACAAAGGTTAATTTTCATTTATATAGTTTTCTAACATTATTACATCTGTCATGCAGAACTACTTCCACTACTGCACATAACATAGTCATGCAGAATGTAATTGCCCCTTTTAACAGAGGGCACTTTTTTTTTTTAAATTAAAACCAGAATCGCCCTAGAGAGCCTCTCTGATTTCTGTATAGCGGGCCCCCCATATATTTTACTCACCACTTGTTTCCCATTAAGGGGGGGTGATCGCTCTTGGTTGGAAACATATGTTAGACTTGGAGTTCTAAGCCACACTTCCCATGGGTGAAGTAGGCACCTTATTCACAGGGGATAGTTGAATCAAGGAGTTTTGTGGAAATTAATATATATCTTATCATTTACATTTGTATTTTGTTCGATTCTTCCCTTCATTGTATCTGGCATAAAACATCAGCTGAAACAAAGACAGACTTTGATTGTTTGATATCATTCCTTTTTGAGATATGTACAATTTGTAGCCTAGACTAATATTGTTTCTTTTATGTGAGTTTGTGCCTTTTTGTCTGATATTCCAATGCAGGTATATTGGAAATAAATATTCTAGGAAACTCTTGATTCTTTCTTGTTTCATTTATTACTTTTCATTTGTCACTTTTAAGTACAAATTCAACAAATTTCTAGCACTAGATTGTGATGTCCTCTATTATTAAAGTCAAAAATATATTCCAGAAAGCTTGCTATAATGAGTTTATACCACTTTGACAGGCCAGTGACAGGAGGTTGTGCGACACATCAATGTGCAGATTGCTCACATTGTTACTTAATTTTTTTTATTTATTTTTTTAGCTCAAAAATTTTATTTGGATTCAAGACAGTGTTTCTTATTCCTACACCTTTTTTCATTCCCCTCTCTCTTTACCATATTCTACTTTTTAGAAGTGATTTTCTTTAAGAGGGGTACTCTAAGCACTATACCTATTACAGCCCACTGCAGTGGTGTAACCACATTTACGGTCATCCCGGGCAGAACAAAATTTTGCACCACCCCTTCAGCCCCCATTCACCATATTCCTCTAATGGAAGGCTAATTAAACACATGATAAGCTTTTGCTTATAAAGGTTACATGCACTATAGGGCGCCACCAGTGTGTGAATAAATGCTTACGACTTGCAATCAAAGGATGGCCCTCATATGCAAAATAGAAAAGGAAATATATCATAGTATAATACTCTAACAAACCAGCAAATGGTTAATTAAAAACAATAGAGATATGCACATATACTATAAGTTTGCATAAAAGGCCTGGTTGCTTTTAATCACATAGCTGAAACGTGTTGAGTGGAGGGTCCCTCAAGACGGCCAGTAACAAAGGAACATGAGGAAGAACTATACATTTTATATATATATTATTATTATTATTGCCATTTATATAGCGCCAACAGATTCCGTAGCGCTTTACAATATTATGAAAGGGGATTTAACTATAAATAGGACAATTACAAATAAACTTACAGGAACAATAGGTTGAAGAGGACCCTGCTCAATCGAGCTTACATTCTATAGGAGGTGGGGTGTAAAACACATATATATATATATATATATATATATATATATATATTTCTTAACCTTGGAGAGACGTACTTTCTTTCACCTAGTCGCCATGACTGTGCCCTATTGACAATCAGGTTGTTAATGCACATTTATTGTATATGTACACATCTCTATGTTAGTGTTCACTTTGTTTTTAACTTTTTGTTGTGGTTTATTAAAGTACTATACTATGACATATTATCATGTTCCACAAACCATTTCTGAACAGTTTTTGCAGTGTGGCTGGGTGCATTGTCCTGTTGAAAGATGCAACTTCCATCCGGGAACACACTTGCCATTAAAAGTATGTAGTCTGCAACAATCTCTAGGGTAAGTGGTACATGTCAAAGTAACATCCACATGAATGCCAGGACCCAAGATTTCCAAGCAGAACATTGCCCAGAGCATAACTCTGCCTCTGGTGTATTGCCTTCTACCCATAGTGCATGCTGCTGCCATCTCTTCAACAGGTGAACGATGCACACTCACCTGGCAATCCACCTGATCTAAGAAAAAACACGATTCTACACACCAGGCAGCCTTACATTGATCTGTGGTCCACTCACATGCCCATTGAAAGCGCCTTTGGTGGTGAAGGGTCATCTAGTCACGCATACACAGCAATCTGCCATGCATTGTGTGGTCTGACATCTGTCTATCACAGCCAGCATTAAGTTTTTCAGCAATTTGAGCTACAGTAGCTCTTCTGTGTTCAGGCCAAACTGGCTAGCCTTCACTCCCCACGTGCATCAATGAGCCTTGGGTACCCATAACCCTGGTTAACCAGTTGTCATTCCTTGCACCACTTTTAGTAGGTTCTAACCAATACATACCGTGAACACCCACAAGACTTTGTTTTTTAGATGCTCTCACCCAGTCGTC